TTCAATAAGGTAATTTACTTACTCGGCATGCCTTTCAGTGGGAGACATTACCATAAGACTTCTCGACCAACGGAGTCGAATGCTATCACCTTCAGGTAGAGAAACACAACTTGTGTCGGGCGTCGGTAAGCATGTCTGTGTTCCAGGACCTGGTGTAGTGTAAATATTTGGTCGGGTCTTAAGCTTGACTGTTTTTGTCGGGCTTGTTGTTCCCGAGCTCCACTAAGGCGTCAGAGAATTATGAAACCCTATGATCTTGGACTCTATGTTAGTCAGGCTGATTCCTCTGTGATTATCGCGACATGACATGATTGTGACCAATAGGCAACTGATGCTCTAAACGTCATCCATTCAGTAATGCTGAATCACTATGCACTATATATCAAATAAACAAATTTCACATGAAACTATTCTAACAGGTTGTTAGTGAAAACGACACATTTTCATTGATTATAGACAATTCAATGTCATGAAACATTGAACAGTATAATGGATTCAATGTTTTGATAACATGATAATCATTCAGTTTGCTTTGTGTTTATATTAAATATGTGTTAAGAAAGGTCAAAATGATTTGATTGGTTGAGATGATATGTTTGAATGATTGGCTATAGTTGTCTTTTCTTCAATAGCAAGACTACTCATTGTAAAACGAACATTTAGTAAGAATTAATTAGTAAAGGTTAGAAATAAACAAAAACGGTTCCACTCAGTTGTTAAACAAATAAATTATCATTTAGAGAAACAAGATAACTTAATACTTACTATTTGTTGATATACTTGTAATTCTTCGTTGTTTTACCAAATCGAATTGTTCGATCTCTTTTGACATATTAGCTCCTATGCAGATGCCTGCATATTGCCTACATATAACTTATGGTAATTTACTTAGTTATGGCTGGGAAAGGGATCCAGAATGCGCGTTTCAATCCAGTAAAATAAAGGAGAACTACGAGCATATCCATAAATAGTAATAACTAATACCAGTTGTACAAGAGGTGGTTATCGTTCTTCAATGGCGTAGTAGATAACATCTTGGCATTTAAAGCGATGGGGCATACGGTTTGGGTCTCAGCGAGAGTAACATCACTCTACACTGGAGTGCAGGTAGATCCAGCTAACGAGTCTTGGCGTCTTCTGTTAGCCATAACCAAGTAAATTACTGTAACTCAGTACGCTGTAAAAGTATAAGAAATTAAAGTCAGTAGTAGATACAATCCAATTCACTTACAAGGCAGAAAATGAACAAGTAGAATTACTTATGTTGGATTGAAGAATAAAACGAAGAACAAACAGTGGTTTGGATACTACTGTCTACAGAAAACTAACACATTCCAACAGGTATCTAGACTTCAAATCATTCCATCCAAAGTCAGTTAAGGCAGGATTAGTCAAATGTTTAAACGATAGACCTAGAAAACTGACTAATCAGAACAAGAACCTAACAAAGGAATTGAAACACGTAAAAGAAGTGCTAATAGTTAATAATTATCCTCCGCAGTTTATTAAGAAATTCTTGCGGACACACAAAAAATGGCAAAATAACTGTCACACACGTGCGACTAATAACGACAACACGAGTAGAAAGGAGTCCACAACTTCCATTGTATTACCCTATAAGGGGGGTATCTCAGAAAGTTTACGTAGAATCCTCAACAGAGCTGGAATTAGTTATGATGGCATCTAAACCTATAAACTCACTCAGAGATAAACTTTTTCGGCTGGCTTAACGATCCGATAGGAGGGGGATACACTGGACGACGGAAAAGAACCTAGAAGACTTGGATTTCGCCGATGACTTATGCCTAATGTCACATAAACTTGAAGATCTGCAGGCAAAAACTAACAAGTTGACAGAGGAGGCAGCTAAGACGGGACTTCAGGTGAATATAGAGAAGACAGAAGTGATGAAGATACCGCACCACCACCATCAACAACAACAACAAACTCCAATCACCGTCAACGGTAGAAACTTGAAGGAAGTAACCTCCTTCACTTATCTAGGAAGCACTGTTTCAACTACAGGCGGGACGGACGAGGACGTCAAAGTCAGAATCGGAAAAGCAAGACAGGCATTCATTAGCCTGAAACCAGTGTGGAGATCTTCTGCACTCAGCATGCGGAACAAGATACGGATTTTCAACACCAACGTCAAGTCAGTGCTCTTGTATGGCTCAGAGACTTGGCGCGTCACGAAAGGCATTTCCAATAAACTACAGACATTCATCAACAACTGCTTACGCTCGCTGCTGAAGATCAGATGGCCAGAAAAAATAAGCAACAAGGAACTCTGGGAACGAACCAACCAAGAACCTATCACGCAACAAATATGCAGGAAGAAGTGGAGATGGATTGGGCATACACTGAGAAGGCCGACTGAGGACATCACGCGTCAGGCCCTCGAGTGGAATCCCCATGGGAAGCGACGAGTTGGACGTCCGAGGGTGACATGGAGGAGGTCGTGCGAGGAGGAAATGAGAGCTTCTGGGCTGTCGTGGAACCAGGTTCAAAAGATCTCAGAGAACAGAGGTCACTGGAGGCGTGCTACTGAAGCCCTATGTTCCACTAGGAACCCAAGGGACTAATAATAATAATAATAATAATAATAACGATCCGATAGAACCAATTAAGCAAAATAATCTAACCTATCAAATTCCATGTAATGATTACAAAGTCAAGTACATAGATGAAACTAGTCGGTTGGGGTCAGTTAGAATAGCCGAACATAGGTATTCAGCTAAATATAGAATAACAGACCTAAATAAGATCAATAATCTAGAAAAAAAACTCAGCTATTACTAAGCACAGACACATTAACACACAATCACAAAATAGGATGGGTGGGATAAAGCCACTGTACTCAATAAATGACGCAACACCTATACCAGAGATATGGAAAATTTCGCTACCAATAAAATCAACTCATATAAAGTGACATGACTATAAAAATCAGATATTGAAGTGGAGTGTGATTACATTGATATGATGATGAGCAATGATAATTTCTGCTCGAAACGTCATCCAGTGACTAATACTATATCACTGTGTGTTATAAATCAATAAACAAATTGAATATAGAATAAATTAGTATCATCTTAAACTTGCTGCATGAAAATCTCAGTATGTCGGGGATACAGCTTCCGTCTTCTGATTGTAAAACAACACTTCAAAACTGGTCCTAGCCGAAAGGGAAGGTATAGTGGAAATAGTAAGTCGCTTACTTTACTTTTCAGGATGTGTTGTCCTCAATCAACTGATTGTTGAAAACATCTCAACTTGAATGCATACTACCGGTCTGACACTTATTAACTTACTCTATTCTTAAGTCTAACGAACTACTCGGTTATCTAGCAAAGAATGCATAAACTTCACAGTAGTTTGATCTTCCTAACTGTAAGACTCTGAGGCATAACTGTTGAGCTGGAAGATATGAAGGGAATACAAGACCTTTGATGTCTTGATGACGTTAAGATTTTAGGAATTTTTCTCACCCGAACTTGACAAATTCAAAGAGTAGTGAAATAACACTTCATACTTGCTGAATACTTCATGAATGTGACATCAAGAAAGAACATGTTGGAGTAATCAAGTAGCAGTAGTACAATTAATAGACTGTACCAAAATACCGATGTGTTTCGACTTACTGGTTGGAAGATCGCATAAGATCAACTCAAGGTAGCACGACACCGTGTCAAATGACCTGGAGGTTTGAGTGTATATCATCAACTTAGTCAGTCTGTTCAAGCTATGAAGGTCAGTATCAGTAGTGAATCCCTTCAAACCCTTGGCTCTTGATTTCAGATCACATAAAAAGTAAGTAAGTAAGCTGATTGTGGGCCAAATAGCATCAAGTTGTAAAAAAAATTAAAAGGGTAACATACGACGGCAGTCCGTGAAGTCTATGGCTGTTGATCTAACCCACACAAGGATGTGTGGACTATCCGAGGAGATCTGAGTCAGTGACAGTGAACATTTGGCAGTTTATCTGCTTGTACTCATTACAAAGGTAGCAAAAGATGCATAGGTTTTTTTGAAAGAGAAGTGTAATCATTTTGACGTAGCTAGACACTTTCCATTAAAATGAAAATCTCATTCCAAGTTGAACTAAGTGAACTTTTCATTCGAACTCAAAAACAGTCAGCATTATTTATGCGTTTTGGTCATGAATCTAGAAGGAAGGCATGCATGATCCCAGATTCATATGATAATACGCTTCTTATTAAAGGGTTGATCTACTTGTCTAAGTTCTATTATGTGAGCTTCTTCTCAAGGGATCAAGTATATTCGAACTGTGTAAGGCATCAGAAGAGTAGATGTTAAGGTTTAGTTGTTTAGAAGTTTTGTCTAATCTTAAATGTTGAAGAAAATGCAGTTCTAATGTAGTTGTTGTTTGTATTATCCCTGGTTGATCAGTATCTATTAGCATATGAGCTCCTGCGCAGCTGCCTGGATATTACCTGTGTCTGAATTATATGTTTATGATGGTTAGTGACTATCACTAGAATCTTGTTCACACGTTTCGCCCTACTTGGGCCTCGTCGGCTGTATGTACCTGCTTCGCAGTGGTCGTCGTTGTCCCTAACGGGGCTCGAACTCAGGACAGATCGCTTCAGATGACACAGCGTTATCCACTACAAAACAGGGCCACAATAGCCACTTCTTGTAGGATAGGTATCGTTTCAAAGTCGTTCCAGGAATGCAGGACCGATCAATTCTGTTCACCGAAGGACGCGACGACTCGGTGGACGCCTACTGGATAACGCTTTGGCGTCTGGAGAAATAGATCCTGGTGGGAACAACGTAACTCACTGGGAGGCAGATTCATCAAGCAAATGAGTCCTAAATAGGACGAAAGGCGAGTACAGGACTCCATTGCTTGCTACTATCTAAAAATAGAAAACAAATTAATAAATGTTGTAACCTACTCATGAGTAGGCTAAAATGATAGCATAAATATTTAATGATTCAAATGTTGGTATTTTTCACTTTCCTATGCACAGTACGTGTTCAAAGTACGCTCAGACATACTAATTGGAGAGTTAAGAAAACAAGCCATTGAAACGTATAATCTACGAGAAATTGATTTTATTAATCATGGCTTATATTTGCCACCAGAAGGTGGAAAAAAAGGCAAATTTCTTCAAAATGAACGAACAATTTCTGATTATCCACAATTGGTTGCAACAAAATTATTTACCATTGATAAAAATGATGGTAATTATAGTGAATATATTGTCCATGAAACAGATAACAATCGGAATGGTGCAACAAATGATGGTAAATGTAATGATCCAGTACTTTTGGAGGTAAGTGATAATATTTCATTGCATCATGTTAACCTAATTGCTTACTCAAAATATACTTCCATATATTATCACATAGCCTTATACTTATTTGAATACATATATATATTTGTCTGATCTTGATTGTGTTGTGTTTTCTGAGTTGCATTGTTGAATCGTAGAGAAGCTTTCATCGTCTTTCTAGACATCGACATCATCAGCATTGACTTCAATATGAAGTGAGTTGTCAATATCTCTCCATCAGAGATTCAGTAACACCCTGACAATCTGGTTTCTGATTGGTTATTTCCTCTGATTGTTGTGTCATTGACTGACCACATAGATATTCTTGTCGGCTACTCCCCGTTTGACCTCTGACCCTTCTGCTGTTTATCATTTTTCTCATTAGTCAATTGCTGTCGGATCTGAATGTCAAGCTTCTAGGAATTCTCTCATGATATTGTTTGTGCTTCCTCTCTCCATACAAAATTTCTACATTGTAGAAATTGAATTCATGTCCATTGCTGCTATCCACATGCATTGAAATGAGTGATGAAATGTCGTGTGTGACATTTAACAGCCAATTGGTGTTCATGTAAATCAAGAAGGTGAAGAGGGAGACCACTTCGTCCAATGTAGTGTTGACTATAATTATTGCAGTTGACTTTGTAAATGACATTCGGTTTGTCTTGTTTGGTTGCTGCATCCTTTGGTCTGTATAATAGTGTTTGGAGGGAATTTGTTGGTTTAAGAGAAGCCACACCAATTCCATCAAGTGGTCTCAGTAATCCTGTTGTGATTTGTGATATATTCCATATGTAGGGTAGAGTGATGCGTTTGTTGATTTGTGTGGATGACTTTGTAGTTGATGGTGTATGGGATAGGGATTTTGTGATGAAGTTTGGTGGGTAGCCGTTCTTCTTTAGGGTGGATATCAAGTGATTTTCTTCATTTCTCCGTGGAGTTGTTGTGCTTCAGTATGTGTACTACAGTGTTGTGTCAATCTTCTGTTCCAACAAGTTTTCTTAGCGGTAAGCACTGCTCGATATGGATGCTTAATTTATCACTCATTGAACTCTCAGTGATTAGTGACTTTAATTGAATGCATTATTGAATCCGTAATATTTGTCAAAGTTTAAACTAAGATATGCCAATTGAAGCAATAGACGAAATGGGAAAACATGTAGATCTCTAGATTGACATTTTTATGATATATCGATCAGATAAAGATGAGTTTATTCATAAAGTAGCTCCCAGTTCTCCACTGTATAACCTACTGCATTTGGCGGTAGATGTTAAACTGCTCTGTCAAAATTCTGTACCTAAAGGTTAAGTAATAGATAACAGGATTCAATTTTGAGGTTTGTGAGGATTGATTGATTTCATGCTGGTATTCATCATGGATTGAAATCAGCTGGAGAAACGGTTGGAATGTGGGAGCACTGGACAATTGTTTCGTCTCAGTATCAAACTCCTCAGCAATGCACACCCATACGACTGCGCTAGGGGTCGAATCCATGACTTTCAAGCTCTGTGGCAAGCATCTTATCAACCTGAAATCAATAAATCCTTACAAATTGCTGAACTGAGCTAACCTAGTACTCATTTGATGACTAGATTTGAGAGGTGATTCCTGAAGTTCCAGTGAGAAGTCATGACCAGTGGCGTCAGGCAAGTCGAATATGAGGACAGTTACTCAGCGACGGCATTGGATATAGGTCGCAATATATCGTAAATTGACAGAGGTAGGAAATATGGACCATTAGAAATTTGACTCAATGGCTGAATGGTAACATTCTGATCGCGGGGTCTGAAGGTCCTGGGTTCGACCCCAGTGGGGTTATGAGTGTGTATTATTGAGGTGCCCTGTACTATGATGAGACAGCTTTTCAGTTCTCCGAGGTTTTCAGTGGTTCTTCACTTGATGTCTGTCCATGTTGAATACTAACCTTAGATAAGAGAATTGCCTATTGATGTTTGTCATAAATGAATTTTTTAGGCAGACGTTTCAGTATTGTCTAAGGTTTCTTCTTCTTGATGCTGTATGCTTCATAATGGCTAGTAGTGGGATTCATGGTCAGCGCTCCATCATACTTGGGACTTGTTATTTCCAAGAACACATATATTATAGTGAGTAGTGATGTTGCAACTAGGACTCGTGCCAAACATCCATTTCGTTATACGTTGAGGTCTAAACTCGGAGATGAGGACAGATACTCAACAATGGCATCATATAAAGGTTGTACCATATAGCTATTTGACAGGAGTGGAAAAATTTTGGCCATTAGCTTCAAACCCAGAGGTTCAAAAGTAACGTACTCTACAAGACACCTTAAGATGTTATGTTCGATTCCTCTTGAAGTCGGGAGTGTGAAATACTGGCTGGGTTGATACTAGGATGAAGTGGTAGTTCAGCGCTTCTCTGAGTAAGCCCAACCAGTGAAGAACACCAGATTGGACAGAATTATTCTCGTAAAAGGCTAAAAAGCAACTGACTAGATACAATCTTCTGTGCTGAAATAAAGTATGATTGAATATGTGAAGTATTTTGAAATTGATTTACGAAATACCAAGTTCGTGTGGCTGTGAAACATATCGTTTAAAGGCAAAAGTCAAAATGAAGCAGTTACAGGCTTTTGATCACAAATTTCTCCGTAGCATTGCCTACTTTTAATGGAATCACCGTGTGAGCCATATTGGGGTCAGGCGAAGGATACTAGGCAAGACTGTGTACTTTAGTCGACTGAGGTGGCTTGGACATATACTGTACTCTCCAGTGGCCAGAAGAAGACATAGTACCCGTTCACATTGTCTCTGATTGTTTGTCTGGACCACGTGGGAAAATGTGAACCGTTTGGTTGATGTTTCTGAGATGGAGGCAATCAGCTGATTCTGTAAGTGTCAGTCAGTCAAGTTTGTGTTTTCTGATTTCTTACAGTCACTGAGTTCATTCTGAATGCGAAATCACCAAGAAGTAATAGTGAATATGAAATACTTACATCAGTCTCTACAGATGCCATCTATCTCAGTGCCAATAATTGAAAAATTTCACAGTTTAGTATTTCATTTTGACTATCTGAGATAGTTATATCTTTGCAGACTGACTAGTATTGATACTAGGTGATGATTGAAGGTGAAATGAAAATTTATACCACGGTCCGACCTCGTAACTCCAGTGTTAGGAAGGAAGAAGAGGTAAGACAAGACTAGGAATGGATGTTGACGGACACATGGAAGCTAATGGAGGAGGGAGAGGAGGACGGTGAAGCAGAAGGTGAATAAGTGCAGCGCAGTGCAGGCATGAACAATGAGAAAAAGAACTGAACACAACCTATAAAACACTACACTGGACACAGAACTGAGGAAGGGTACATGCAAAGACAAGACACTTCTATGACAAATTTGCAAATGGAGCAGAACAGGCTACAGGTAAGAGAGATGGAGACCTGACAACTCTATATCAAATAACCAGGTTACTATGTGGGAGGGAAGAGATCAACACAGCACAGATGAAACCAATGAAAGATAGTGAAGGAAACTTAGTTACCAAAGGGGAGAAACAAAGGAAACGATGGGCTGACTACTTCAGAAAACTCCTGAATCGACAACCACCACCACCACCTACAATTCTTCTAGAAATAACACCAGCACCACAGCCACAGAACTATCAGTGAACACAAGCACCCCGACAAAAGCCGAAGTGAGGTCCTAAAGGTCATAAAGTCGCTGTAATACAGGACGGCTGCAGTACCACATGGAATTCCTTCAGAAGCACTGAAAACAGACGCAGAGATAACAGCCGATATCCTCATACGACTATTGCAGAAGGTTCTGAAGGAAGGAAGCAGAGTTACCTGACGGCCGACTGGCTAGGTATCTCCATCACCTCTGTCTTCTCCCCATTCACTAGAAGTCCTGACCTCCTCCGCTGCCTCGCCTCGTCTCGTTTCTTCTGCCAACTTGTTAGTTTTTTGCCTGTAGATCTTCGAGTTTGTGCGACGTAAGATGTTAGACAGAAACCACCATCATCGGCGAAATCCAAATCTTCTCCTGGGGTTCTCTCACCGGTCCAGCCAGCGTATTTCTGGCAAATCTGATCTTCAGTATCGAGCATAAGCAGCAGCTGTTGATGAATGTCTATAGTTTGTTGGAAATACTTTCCGGAACACGCCAAGTCTCTGAACCAGATGGCAGCACTGACTTGACTGCCATTGATGTTGAAAATCCAGATCTTGTTCACTCTGAATGCTGAGTTCAGTGCGGAAGATCTCCACACTGGTTTCAGATTAATGAATGCCTGTCTTGCATTTCCGATCCTGGCCGCTTTGACATCCTTGTCTATGTCGTCACCGACTGTAGTTGGAACGATGCTGCCTAGGAAGATAGGTGAAAGAGACAACTTCCTTTAGGTTTTTCTCGTTGGTGGTGATTTATACTTGTTGTTGATGCTGTTGTTGGTTGGATTCACTTTTACAGCTTCACGCTAATTCAATATAAAAGAAACATGATCAACTACCTGAGTTACAGAATAATGGAACATTTCTTCTGATGACTGTATTGAAGAAGAAATGAATAAGCTGAATATGAAATTGCAGCAAAATGGTTAAAAAAACATGTTGAAACCTAGAGGGAAGATAAAGAAAGATAATGTTGCTAAGAAGTTTATATATCTCTGAATAAGTTTCAAACCTGATACTGCGTCGAATATCTTAATACATCGATAAGTAGATCAGTTGAAAAGACATTCATTACAGCGAAACCTTATGTCAGTATCTCAACCAAACCATTACTAACACAGCGAACCAAGTATAAGTACCCTATGATGACCACTTCAATGTGCATTTATGAGTTCAACTGGTTCTATGGAGCTAGTTACATAGACCATACTCAAAGGGCTCTATCCATGTGCGCTGGTAAGCATATACCATCTTGGTTAGGGAAAGTAATGACAAAGGGCATCAAAAATACAATTTTCTCACATCTAGTAGATACTGGAAATCAGACCAAGATAGATCACGCCTTTTCTGTGATATATCGTGTCCCATTGCAATCTCCTTAAAGGTGGGCTACTATTCATCGAGTTTTTGGTCGAAGCCATAGAAATCAATGCAAGAGAACCGAACCTAAATGTTCAGGAGAAATATTCACATCCATTTCGTTTACCCCGGGTCACAATAGGATCGAGACGTTCCTTATGAACTTTACTACCATCAGTTGCGCATTTTAATCTCCCATCCCTTTCTTCTATATTGTCATTACATTGATAAACGCTCATCTTCCTTTCTTATGTTTTTACTTTTCCCCCCTTCATTATTCATACCACAACCGGTAGACACTTTCAAATATGACGCAACACTTCACATTTGTGATTCCCAATTTACTATTATTATTATTATTTGTCCTTTGGGTTCCTAATAGAACATACCGCTTCAATAGCTCGTCTCCATTACACTCTCTTCTCTGCAATCTTTTCAACCTGACTGCACGACTGCCCAGAAACTCTCATTTCCTCCTCACACCATCTCCTCCATGTCAACCTCAACTCAGACGCCCAACTCGTCACTTCCCATCAGGGTTCCACTCGAGCAACTCGCCTGGCAAGTCATGTCCCCAGTCAGCCTTCTCAATGTATGCCCAATCCATCTCCACTTCCTTTCACTGCATATTTGTTGAGTGATAGGTTCTTGGTTGATTCGTTGCCTGACCAGAGTTCCTTGTTGCTTATTCTTATTATTCTGGTCATCTGAGCTTCGCCATCGAACCAGCGTAGACGGCAGTTGTTCATGAATATCTGTAATTTGTTGGAAATCCCTTTCGTAACGCGCCAAGTCTCTGAACCATCACACTGCAGCACTGACTTGACTGGCATTGGTGTTGAAAATTCGGATGTTGTTCACACTGCATGCTGAGTGTAGTAGATTTCCACACTGGTTTCAGGCTAATGAACGCCTATCTTGCTTTTCCTATTCTCACTTTGACATCCTCGTCTGTCCCGCCTGTAGTTGAGACAGTGCTTCCTGGATAGATGGAAGAGGCTACTTCCTTTAAGTTTCTCCCGTTGATGATGATTGGAGCTTGTTGTTGTTGTTGGTGGTGTTGTTGGTTGGGTATCTTCATCACATCACCTCTGTCTTCTCTATATTCACTTGGAGTCCCGTCTTCGCTGCCTCTTCCGTCAACTTGTTAGCGGGTGATAATTGAAGGTGGAATGAAAATTTGGTCCGCAACCGGATTCGAACCAGTAGACGCTCGGTTCCCGGTGCGATAATCTACCAGCTGAGCTAGCTACGAAATATGACTGGTGACCAGACTTGTATTTCAATTTATCAATCACCAAGGGTTTTTCTCAACTATCATGAGAATTCGTGATGCGTTACTACCGCCTAATCGTATTTACACTGACTGCCTAGTCAGAACTTCTGATCCCAGTCCCAATCTAACTGAATAAGAGGGGGGGGGGTAGGAGCATCATACTGATTATCATCTGACTATGTGAGTGAGATAACTGTAGTTTGGCAGACTAATCGAAAGTGAAATGAAAATTTGGACCGCGGCCGGTCGTTATAGTATTGACAGATTTTTCGCTCCACTTGAATATAATTCATCACTTCACTGATTATTATTTGACCTTCAGTAAACAAACACACATACACATTCATGCCCCAGTAGATGTATATAAAAGGAATCATTATCTTGAGGGAGTTGTGGAGATTTGGATATATTTCAAGTTGTTATTCATCGTAGACTGACATCAGTTGGAGGAACAAAGGAAACCTGGGAGCACTGAACAGCTGTTTCGTCCTAGTAGGGGATTCCTCAGCAGTGCGCACCCACGACCCCTCACTCCAGGGCTCGAACCCGCAACCTTCAGGTTTCGTGACCAGCACGGTACTATTGAACACCTGAGTCAGAATCCAATAGTCCATATTTCAAACTTCTGTTAGCTGTCTAGTGCTCCCAATTTTCCTTTATTCCTCCAACTGATGTCAGTCTATGATGAACGACAACTTGGAATCATTATCTATAGATTTTGTCTCCTCATTTCGTAATTATTCCGTCAATATACGTTTCATTGTACGACTAATATACCAGACTGATAACAATTCCAACATTTTATTCATCCATAACACTGACTGTTTCATAATAAAGCAATAAATACACATCATGCCTAATTTTGGTTATTGTATTTCACTCATCCTCATCGATTCATAACTGAGTAGAGCCTGAAGAAGAAGAAAAAGAGGTTATTGATAACAACATTGTTTGCTTAAATTATTCTTGTTCAAAACCATTTGTTTATATCTTATTTGTATGTTTGTTGTGACCGAATGGAATTACACTAATGAGCATACGGATAGTGAGACTTAGTAGACAGCTCAATCGAATACTATTTCGACTGGTCTCCCACAGTTCCCTCTGCTTCACTGAGCCACAGAGATGTCAGAATATAAAAGACTGGTCTGTGACTGTAAGTACAACAAGTTTATGAGACAAATACATGTTGTATATGTATTTACAACAACTGCTCCAACACTATGGAATACCACAAACCTTTATCAACCTCATTCAACAAGGATATGAAGACACTGCATGCCAAGTAATTCACAATTGAAAGCTCAGTGATGCCTTTGAAGTGAAATGAAGACAGGAGTAAGACAAGGCTGTCTACTATCACCCATGATATTCCTGATTGTGGCCAACTGGACTGGACAATGCAAGAAACAGTGAGGAGCGAGAAGATGCGGATACGGCGGTTGGAAGGGGGAAAAGATCCTAGAAGATTTGGTTTTCACCGATGATTTATGTCCAATGTCGCACAAACTGGAAGATCTACAGGCGAAAACTAACAAGTTGACAAAAGAGTCAGCGAAGTCGGGAATTCAAGTGAACGTAGAGAAGACAGAGGTAGTGAAGATATCCAACCAACACCACCAACAACAACAATAAGCTGCAGTGACGATCAACGGGAGGAACTTAAAGGAAGTTGTCTCTTTCACCTACCTTCCTAGGCAGCATCGTTCCAACTACAGTCGGTGACGGCACAGACGAGGAAGTCAGAACCAGGATCGGAAATGCAAGACAGGCATTCATTAATCTGAAATAAGTGTGGAGATCTTCTGCACTGAACTCAGCATTCAGAGTGAACAAGATCTGGATTTTCAACATCAATGGCAGTCAAGTCAGTGCTGCCATCTGGTTCAGAGACTTGGCGTGTTCCGGAGAGTATTTCCAACAAACTATAGACATTCATCAACAGCTGCTGCTTATGCTCGATACTGAAGTTCAGATGGCCAGAATAGTAAGAATAAGCAACAAGGAACTCTGGCCTGTCAACCAACCAGCCAACCAAGAATTTATCGCTGAACAGATATGCAGTGGAAGAAAGTGTAGATGGATTAGGCATGCACTAAGAAGACCATTCGGGGACATCACGTGCCCGGTCAGGACAGATTGTCGATTGGAACCCAGATAGGAAGCGACGAGTTGGATGTCCGAGATGAGAGTGACATGGAGATCATGTGAGGAATAAATGAAAGCTTCTTGGCACTGATGGAGGTAGGTTGAGAAGACTGCAGAGAAAAGAGTAGAATGTGTGCGTGTTACTGAAAGCCGATGTTCCACTAGAAACCCAAGGGACAAAGAATATAATACAATAATGTATTTACACAACCCTCAGAAAATTAAGCTAATAAATTAACCATTCCGACTGGTTGTTTGATGGCGAGTTTGTTCAATCAAGTTGTCATGTCAATACATGCATAAATCATCATCTGAAAACAATTTCTTTATTGTCTACATTTTTACAACTACCTATCAATAAAGATTTATTGAATGTTACTCATGTTTTCCTTTACTTGAATTTGTTGTACACATTAGTTGTTACCAAAAATTCGATATGTTGAAGAATATCGAGTGGATGGATCGAAAATAAACAAAAGAATTCAATCGAAAGTAAGTTCTTATCATTTATCATTGAATGTTTGATATTTGTAAAACAAAATGATTCATAGAATTCCATTCCAACATGAAACTAATTACTCTACAATAATCGATGAATATATCTATTCCAGTCTTACAGAAAGTCAATCTTGGCTTTCACAGTTCATTGTTAAAGTCTGTGAACGTGGTAGTGAGTAACACTGGTTCAAATCTTTAAGGGTAAATTAGTTTCCTTCAAATGTATAAGAAGAGAAGGAATCTGAAAATCAGGATAAGTGGAAATGTTCACTATTTAGAAGATAGTTAGGAGTGAATATATGTCCACCAATGTTTCCTACTGAAGGTCTTCCATCAATGAATTCGATTGCTTTGAGAACCTCAGTCACAGACAGATTACAAGTTCTGATAAGAGACGATTACCATTGTCACTTCCTTGACATATGAGAAATGATATTAAACAAAGAAAAAAATTTATAGAAGAGCAAACAAACATGAAATCTGGATGAGATAGGCCTTTCTGTCAAATATCAGTAGTCAGCTAACATCAGTCAAAGTGTACCACTATATTGACGTGATTACGTAATCGCTGCTTTCGATATCTAAACTTTTCCTGACTATTCTATAGGATTGACATACATTTTTCATTAACTGTATGCACAGTTTCGTTAAATTCATATATATTAAACTTTTGTAATGTTATTCATTATTCTGTATCCTCAGTATGAAATGTGAAATAACGTCATCCTATTACGCAACTAATGTTCTCATTAACTTATTCAAATTTATTACGAGGATTAATTGTACAGTATTTTTGTAAATATTTTCAAAAATAGGGAAATCTCTCTCTCGTTAGTTTTCATTATGTTGTATCTTTCCTATTGTTGCACTTAACTGCGAACATAAACGCCAGACAAATATCCTTTATTCAACACGAAGATGATGATGATGATGAAGCCATATCGTCAAATAGATACTTCAAGTACTTGAATTCAACACAATTCAGATCATTTTATATACTTATCAATTTCATTAGTTGGTTATTGAATGATAATAAGATACACCTTGAAGTTGTGAGTTCACCTTGTTGATGAGTGGTAGTAATCACGATACCTATCTTAAGTACAACTGCCTTATGACTGATTTGAAACACTATTTGTAGGTTAATCTTATAGTTATAAATAACTTTCTTCTAGAAGTAATGTTGTATTGAACAACAAGTTTTAACAATTCAATAGATTATTGTATAACAATACAGTGTTATTTATATTGAGCACTTTTCAGTGAATAACTGAAAGCTTTACACATTAGTAATGAATTCACAAGTACAATCCACGTACATACACACACACAAGTCAATCGTGATAATTTCCGTCACTTCAAAAACTGAAACCGAAATTCCATCTTCATAGTCAGTGTCAACAAATTTACAAACCATATTGAACAGAAATTTTCTTTGTGCTTTGAAGTTTCTTTAGTGATTGGATTGGTTTTACAGGGTAGGGTTGCTGTCTATATGCCCAACCTTCCCTCTTTACCCGGGCTTAAGACCGGCTAGAAACTAGTGAACTAGTTAACCAGGCAAGGTTAAACTTTCTGTTCAATATGGTTAACGAATTGGTTGACATAGACTATGAAAAAGAAATTCGGTTTCAGTTTTTGAAGTTACAAAAATTATCACGATTGACCTGCTTGTGTGTGTGGGGGTTGTCTTACTCCTGTCTTCACTTCAAAGGCATCACTGAGCTCTCCATTGTGGATCACTTGGCATGTGGCATCTTCATATAGCTGTTGAATGAGGTTGATAAAGATTTGTGGCACTAAATCGTAGTGTTGAAGCAACTGCCAAATTGCTTCTCGGTCAACACTGTCGAAGGCCCTTTCAAAGTAAATGAAGTTGAGGTACAGAGCTGACTGCCATTCTATCCTTTGTTCCATGATGACGCGTTGCGAAGCGTTGTAATTTGGTCCACACGTGATTTGTTCTACCTGAAGCCAGTCAGCCTGTTCCGGTAGTAATTTTGAATCCAGACTGAAGGATGCTCTGGATTCAAAATTACAAACGGAACAAGCTGGCTTTAGGAAGAACAAGTCATATACGGACCAAATAGCAACGCTACCCAACGTATCATTCTAGAACAGAGGATAGAATGACAGCCGACTGGATCTTTACCTCAACCTCATTAATTTTGAAAAGGCCTTCGATAGCGTCGACCGAGAAGTAATTTGGCAGGCAGCTGCTTCCACACTACGGTTTTAACGCCACAAACATTTATCAATCTCATTCAACAGCAGCTATATCCTGCATGATGCTATATGCTGATTGATTCACAATGGAAGGCTCAGTGTTGCCTTCGAAGTAAAGACGAGAATAAGACGAGGTTTTCGCCTACTATCCATAACCGATGATCTTCCTGATTGTGGTCGACTGGATCATGCAACACATAACCGTGAGGAGTAAGAAGATGGCCATGATCTGGCTGGACTAATGAAAAGACCCCAGGAGAAGATTCGTATGTAGCCGATAATCATGATTTATGTCTAACATCTTATGATGCACAAACTCGGAGATCTACAGGTGAAAACTAACAAGTTAGCAGGAGAGACGAGGCGAGTCGAAGCAGCAAAGGAGGACCGGACTTCAGGTGAACGTAGAGAAAAGAGACAGAGGTGATGTGATGAAGATACCCAACCAACAACAACAAGAATCACCAATCATCGTGGGCAGGAGAAGTCTGAAGGAAGTGGTCCTTTTCACCGACGTACCTTCTTAAGCAAGATCGTTTCAACTACAGGTGGCACAGATGAGGGTGTCAAAGCCAGGGTAGGAAAGACAGCAAGACAGGTCTTCATTTATCTGAAATGATCAGTGTGGAGATCAACTGTACTGAAGTCAGCATGAAGCGTTAACTAAGACTGAAGATCAGATGTTCAGAATAATAATTATAAGCAAGAAGGAAGTGTGGCCTGGTAATGAACCAACCAACAACCGATCACTTAACAAATATGCCGTAGAAGAAAGTGGATTCGGATTTGGCATACATTGAGAAGACGGTTTGGGGACATCACGCGCCAAACCGTGTCCTCGATGGGAAACAACTAGTTGGGTGTCCAAGTTGAGGGTGACATGGAGGAGATCATATGAAGAAGAAATGAAAGCTTGTGGATAGTGGTGGAGCCAGGTTTGGAAGACAGGAGAGAACAGAGTGGAATGGAGGCATGCTACTGAAGTCTTATGTTCCACTAGGAATCCACGGACCGAATAATAATACTAATAAAAATGAATCAAAGAAGGGAACTTATACTGACATCGCTATAATATTCAAAATATAGGAGATTATGAACGGGGAATACATGTAGATGGCTATGAATGATTCTTTGAAGAGTCTTTGTAAGTCTGAAATCACTGTTTTCTTAACAGATCTGTAAATTTAGTTAGGCTAACTTTAACTTCCTTAAATGGCTTAGAAACAACAGTTATAGACTGTATAAATTGCTTTTCTGTATATTGATAACAATAGTACTCTATCAACTTTGACTATCTGAGATAGCTGTTGTTTGACAGACTACTTCAACTGATACATGGTGTTGATTGAAACTGGAATGGATGTTTAGACTTCAGTTTCCGTCCAGCTGCTGCACAAACTGAGTTACGAGACCAGATCACTGATCAGACTTTTATTTAACTTCGATCATCAAAGGGTTTTACTCGAAGGCCATGTGAATTCGTAACACCTTACCATCATTTGATCTTACTCATACATCAAGGGTTCACGAATTCTAATCACATTCTTCAGCTATGAGATCTACTTAGATATATTTAAAGTATTTTATTGTTATGAATATATAGACAAAAGAATGGTATCAATGTTACACGAACTGCATTTTCCATAGTTTGATAAAACAGTATGGTACAGTATTGTTTATTGAATGACCTTTTGAGCACAATTTTTTAACTGAAATACAAATTTCCAACTGTCTGAAATGTATTATGAATTATTCCTATGACATATCCATTAACAGGAAATAGCTATGGCGCGGTACGCTAGACATTTCACCAGGTTCCTTTTATATTAGAAGGGGATACGATAATAAAGAAGTTGGTTTTCTACATACACTTCGTTTCAGAGTTCAACAGTATATCAAATGGAAGATTTCTATAAAAGTCAACAATTTAAAAATGAATAACATGGGTTAGCACATACATACCATTAAGTTTATTTTCTACAGTAGAAAAATTACTATTACAAAAGTCATGGGACATAAGCAACTTGTACTAATCCTGTTTACATCTAAGACTAACATAATAAGTGAATATTGGAAAGAGCTGAAGTTAGGATACTATTTGAATCCATAAAATCACTGAAAAGTCGAATAAATTGATAAAACGTTCATATGGTAGATCTACTTAAGTAAAACAATCTAATCTACTAAATTTATTGGATATGAACTATACGCAGTCAATTCTGTTCGAAACGTTATCCGGTGAATGGTTGGTACTCTGTCAGTGTTCTATATATCAAATAAACTAAGATAAAATTAAACCATGAAATTATATCAACAGTTGTAGTGAAATGATGACACTTTTAACTGTGTTAAAATTCCAAATTTTCTATCCAAAAATGAATACCATGAAATAATAATATTTTGTAAGGTTGTATTAATCACAGACTGATAATATTTAGAAAAGTATTAAAAACCTGAGAGCGCCGGACAGCTATTTCGTCTCAGTACAGGACTCCTCTGTAGTACGTTTCCACGATCTGGTTAAAGATTGAAGCAAGTCCATGATGAATATTAACGTAAAAATAATATCAACATTGACCTTGAAATACATATCTATATAGCGTTCATTAGTGAAATGAATATCTCAAAGTTCAAATGAAAAGCCATAACCGGTGCCGTCAACCAACAGAAAGTAAACAGATGCCATTTGGACACTTTGGATATGATAATTATGCTATATCACGAATAGACAGAGGTAGGAAACTGTGAACTTCTGAATTCTAACCCAGTGACTAAATAGTCAATGGATTTTGCTGAGAGACCTGAAAGTCCTGAGTTCGACCTCAAGTGACTAGAATCGTGAGTGCGTACTACTGAAGAGTCTCACTGTAAGACGCAACAATCGTTCAGTGATGTCAGGTTTCCAATGGTTCTCCAACTGATGTCACTTGGTGATGAAAAAACCTCGAAATGCAATAATAACAATAATAATAATAATAATGTGGGAAACATTTCAAGTTGTATATTGGTGGAGTTTATTTATCTACATCCTTTATTTCCTTCCTATTTGTATGCATTATCTATATTATCTTTTTTCCAGCATAATCAAAAACGTTTATTATCCGCTATCAAACGGAATGATATTCCTCGGGTTACAGATCTACTTGATCAAGGCTTAGATCCAAATTTTCAACATTCATCCAGTGGAGGTAAGTTAATAAAAAAAATCAGATATATTAAATTGTATCATTTTTATCATAAAATTTATTTCAAGAGAAGTGTTGAAAACTTAGAGACCACTGGACATTTATCATGTCCTATTATGAGAAATCTTTGTAGTTTACAGCGATGATTCCATTGAGGATCCAATCCATGGCCAATGAACCACATTCATCCCCTATAATTACTGAGTATTTTCTTTCTCATATCCAACACAAACCTCAACAGCAGTCATAACTTAACTGACAAAAGAAGTAGTTGTTATCGTCTATAGATTAATCTAAGCCACTCAACAGTATTTCATCAACAACTGCTGTGCTCGTTACTGAAGATCAGATGGCCAGAATAATAAGAATAAGCAACAAGGAACTCTGGTCGGGCAACGAATCAACTAAGAACCTACCGCTCAACAAATATGCAGTGAAAGGAAGTGGAGATGGATTGGGCATACATTGAGAAGGCTGACTGGGGACATCACGTGTCAGGCGAGTTGCTCGAGTGAAACCCTGATGGGAAGTGACGAGTTGGGCGTCTGAGTTGAGGGTGACATAGAGAAGATGGTGTGAGGAAGAAATGAGAGGTTGTTGGCAGTGATAGAGCCAGGTTGAAATGATTTCATAGAATAGAGTGCAATGGAGATGTGTTACTGAAGCGGTATGTTCCATTAGGAACCCAAGGGACAAATAATAAATAATAATAATAACTCACCAGTATATTTCATTAGTTCATGAAAATTTTTGTTACAACTTTTACTCTATGATCCTTATCCGATGATCTCTAAAGAGAACCTTAATGATACCACCCTTAAATAGGTAAAAAACTATTCAGCTATATTAATAGTCTGAATGTACCATGAAATCAGCAAATAAATTTATGGTGTACTCTTCTACTCATGCCAACTAACCCGATTCAATTTACTTAAGCAGTTTCACTGTATGAACTGAAGTTGTTCAAGTATCTCGCTGATAAGCTGGACCCTAGATGGACTAAAAAACTGTCCAATGTTCAGATCATATTCATCTGTCTTGCGTAATCTGCAGAATAGTGTGTGTAGTTTCCAACTTTTCATACTGCTCAGTCGCATATGTTAAAAGTGATGTTGTCTGAACGTTAGGTGACTGATTCACAGATTTGTTATTTGTTTAGTGAACTTAGGTATTTAATATTCTGATAGTTGTAATTTCGTATTACTATCCAAGACAGAATCAGCCGATGTCTGTCCGCAGGTGGGGCCCTATGAGGATGCCTCGATACTCCTGGTCCTTCAGGTACATTTGGCTCACCACTCCAAAATGGGACTAAACGCGCATGCTGGATTCCTCTGCTAGTCACCAAGATCAATACAGAATCAACACTATCCAGCAGTATCGAAGCATCCATAGAAAAGCCCATCTGACAACAGAGATCGAGTGATTCGGCCCTGTATACCTATGGTAAATTAAAAGTATCATTATAACAAATGATACCCATTGTGGAATAAGTGGCTGTCGTGCCCTAGTGGTTTAGTGGATAACTCATTAGTGTTTGAAGCGATCGTTAATGGGTATCAGCTTCAGTAGGAACAATATCACTCCCTGCTGAAGTTCAAGTACATTGAGCTGACTAGTCCTAGATGGGAGAAACGCGCATAAAGGCTTCCCCTGCTAGTCACCAAGATTAATGTAAGGTATTTAGCATTATCTCACATATTTCTTAGAATATGTAATTGTTTTTATATCATATCGTCGTTGATTGGACCGAATTGATGGGTCTGTATTGGGATATGGGACCGTTTGTGGATGCTTCCATATTACCGGTGCTCTAATGGTAGTAATGATGGGCAGTGGCTAGCAGTGGAATCCAGGATGCTCATTTCGTCCTATTTAGGACTCGTCAGCTGGATGTACCTGCTTCCCAGTGAGTGTTGTTCCCACCGGTATTTGAACTCGGGAGCGATCGCGTTAAACACCAGCACGTCATCCACTACACCACCGAGCCACGACAGCCACTATATGATATAAAAACAACTATATATACTAAAAAAAGCTATGCCCGTCTCACAAGGAGTGACTATCGTGGCTCGGTGGTGTAGTGCATAACGCTCTGGCGTTTGAAGCGATCGCTCCCGAGTCCGAATCCCGGTAGGAACAACATCACTCACCAGGGAGCAGTTACACCCAACTGACGAGTCCCAAATAAAACGAAACGAGCATCCTGGATTCTACTGCTTGCCATTATCCATCATTATTATCTTATGTACTTGTTCACGCAATGTAATTAGATAAACTTTGTCTGAACAATATGTGAGATTTGTGGACAATTATTAATAGATTTCAGGTTGGTATTCATCATCGAATGACATCAGTTGGAGGAACATTGGATATCTGAAAGCGCTGGACGGGTGTTTCGTCGTAGCACTGGATTCTTCAGCAGTGCGTACTCATGACCCCACACTTCCGGGATCGAACCCATGACCCTCAATTTCTTTTGCCAGCGTTTTACCATTGGGCCACTGAGTCGCAATTCAGCGCTCCATACCTCTTACTTCTGTCGGCTCATAACACAACGCTCATTGGTGAATAGCTTTGAAAGGTGATTTCTGGAGTTAAAATGAGAAGGCATGACCAGTGCAGTCAATCAAGTCGAACATGAGGACAGTTACTCAACAACAACATTGGATTTAGGTCACGCTATATCATGAACTGACAGATATAGGAAATATGGATCATTGTATTCTGACCCAGTGGCTCAGTGGTAATGTGCTGGTGATGGAACCTGAAAATCCTGGGCTCAATCGCTGGCAAAGTTATGGCTGCTCACTGTGGAGGAGTCCCATACCAGAAAGAAGCAGCTGCTCTCCAGTGCTTTCAGGTTTCCAATGTTCCTCCACATGATGTTTGAACATTAATTTGGGACCCGTTTCTATAATATGTCCAACTATAGATGAAGAGAATTGTATCCTACTTGCGCTTATTGAAGTTGTATACACCATTTGCTTTGGAAGCCGTTTAGGTAGGTGCATGTTCTCCTACCATCAACTGTACGGCTAAATTACTCCTTCTTGTGTATGTATATACATACATATATACACATGTAAACTACAAAACGCTATGGGATATGATGTGATCATCTGTGAAGTGTTGAGATTTGTGGTGAAGTATGCGTTTTGTTTTTACCAAAATAATAGGTTACCTGCGAATTACTTCCTTTTCTGAACTGAAATATTTCGCTGTTATGATGCAATCGTTGGTTGAGACAAAGTGTGACGCTGGTGTAGACACCATAGTGTCGCGGATGCGCCCTGCTGAGGAGTCACGTGCTAGGATGAAACAGTTTCCCAGTGCTCCCAGGTTTCCAATGTCCCCTTAACTGGTGTCAGTCCATGATGAATTATTATTATTATTATTATTATCTGGCCTTTAAGTTCCTAGGGGAATATTAGGCTTCAGTAGCAGGTCTTCATTTCACTCTCTTCTCTGCTGTCTTCCGAATCTGGCTCCACCACTACCCACAAGCATTTATTCATTCTTCACACGATCACTTCCATGTCACCCTCTGACGCCCAATTCCACGTTTCCCCTTTGGGTCCCACTCGACGGCCTGATCTGACGCGTGATGTTACCAAATGGTCTTCTCAGCGTAGTCACGATCCATTTCCACTTCCTTATGCATATTTATTGGGTGACAGGTAGTTGGTTGGTTGGTTCTTTGCCTGGACAGAGTTCCTTGTTACTTATTCTTATTATTCTGCACAGTTGATCGATCTTCAGTGTCAGTATGGAGTGAGCGTAGGTGGCGGCAGCTGTTGATGATGTATGTCTGTAGCTTGTTGGAAATGATTTCGGTAACGCACCAAGTTTCTGAACCATCACATTGAGGCACTGACTTGACGTTGGTGTTGAAAATCCGGATGTTGTTCACGCTTTATGATGAGCGCAGTTGATCTCTCACTGATTATTTCAGATTAATGCAGGAAGATCTGTCTTGCTGTTTTTCCGATACTGGCTTTGACGTCCTCATCTGTGCCATCTCTAGTTGAAATGATGCTGCCTGCGATGGTGGTAGGTGAAAGAGGTTATTTCCTTCAGATTTCTACCGTTCATGGTGATTGGTGCTTGTTGTTGTTGTTAGTATCTTCTTCACCTCTGTTTTCTCTGTCTTCACCTGAAAAAAATGCCGTCTTCCTTCGCTGCCTCGTCTCTTCTCTTCTGCCAACTTACTAGCTTTTCCTTATAGACCTTCAAGTTTGTGCGACATAAGATGTTAGACATAAATCATGATTGGCGGCGAAATCCTAATCTTCTTCTGGGGTCGTTTCTTCAGTTCAGACATAGCATACCCATATTCTCGCTCCTCACAGTTTGTTGTATGATCCAATCCAGTCAACCATAATCAAGAAGCCCATCGGTGATAGTAGACGACACCCTTGTCTTACTCCTGTCGATGGTGAATACCAACTTGAAAAATCTCTGAATCCCCACAAACCCCCTAATTCAATTGAACTAGTGCTCACTGGTGAGTAGATTAGAGTAGTGATTCCTGAACTTCCATTGAGAAGTCGTGACCGTTATGGCAAACTTAGTGACCATGAGAACAAATGCTCAACGATGATATTGTGTGATGTACGCGCAATGTCGTAAACAGACAGAAATCAAAAATCTGAAAAAATGGATTTCGACTCAGTAACCCAATGATAAAATGCTGGTCAAAGAGCCTGAGGACCGCAAGTTCGATCCCTGGAGTGCTGGGTCGTGGATGCGCTTTGCTGAGGAGTCTCATACTAGGAAGAAACAGCTGCGCAGTATGACCAGGTTTCCAATATTTCTACAACTTATGTCAGTTCATGATGAATACCAACTTGAAAAATATAAAAGATGATAGAAATCAAAGTATTAATTGGATACGACGATGATCAACAATAGAAGAGGCAGACAGACAGGCAAGAAATACATGACAACTATAATGCTTCTCATGATATTCATATGACAGTCAGTTCAATGAATTTATAAAATGTAACCCTTAGTAGCTCAATGAATAGTGACAATAAAGCAGCTGAATAAATGCAATTTTAAGAAGAAAACAACTGAAGTGAATAATGAGAGAAAGTTACGCAATATAAATGATGAATTAGAGTAGGAAAAACAAATAAGCGATTAAGACTGACTGACAAAATCAACGTTGAACCTCACTTAGAGATGTATTGGCTAAATTTATCAAAACTTTATAGCAGTGCACAAAGAAAAGATGGATAGAAAGGGAGTGATATGTTTTTCATCCATGTCCACAAGCGTACTCAACCACCGATTGCTTTCATCTCGTAAACCCCAGTCAAACAGTCTACATCGCCTCATATGGTTCAAGTGAACAGCTAAAGACTTCATGGACTGGTATCACGTTTTCATTTGGCCACTCTGAATCCTCTTTCAGCCTTAGTCAACATTCCCTAGCATATCATGTCGAGATAGGTGTCCAAGCTATTTGAATGGAATAAGGTTCACTACCTCATCAGTCGATTTGTCTTTCTTTTCTAGTATTCTTCACTTGATCCCAACAATGATCACATGGTAATTCCACCAAACACGAGCAATGCTACGTAGATCAAAATCCCGTCTTCTACTTTCACCGACTATATCTGACAGCCATTTAACGGGACAGAATGAACTGCAGAGCAGCATATTCATCCCTTGATAGATAGTTGGATGTCTGGTCAGCAATACAGGTGACTTTAGTTAGCAAATGCCAAAATGGACTTCTGCATCCAAGTTGAGATTACGTCAACAAGTCCTCAAGTGGAATGGAATGACACATTTCACTACTCCACTCTCTATCTTTAAAATGGAAGTAGTTGCAGACTAATTCAGGAGCATCATGTTACATTGGACAGGTACGAAGTGCATGTCAAACATACTCAGATTTCTGTATTTTGTCAGCGTCTTTACCCAGCAGGACAATATCATCTGGAAACTTTAGGTCATTCAGATAATCTTTATGGGGTAGGTAAATCCGTGTGAAGTGAGAGATTAGCACGTCTATGACGAAGTTAAACAGAGATAATGACATAATATGTGATTTATCTAGAGTAGCCTCGGTAATGAAAAGAGTGGACGAACTTTTTTTATTAAAAAGAATGCAGATGCAAACGTTTGGATAATCAGAGGTTCAGTCACACCCAAATGCCATGATATCACTCCCTTTGAGTGGCTCGAGAAAACCTTATTGAGAATTTTGAAAGAGTTCTCAAAAGAGATTGAGTAACCTGAATAAAGTGAGATAAAATGTATCTTTGGCTCAACAAAAGAACCCTGTATGAATTCATTAAATCGAACCAGTCAGGAAATGAATGAGAGAAAAACATCCATGCATAGCTGAGGCATAAGTCATCTAGAGGTTCAAACTATCGTCAGATATCCAAAAAGCTACTAATGCAGAATCATATAAGAGAAGACTGAGACAACTCGTTACACTTATTATATTCCTGTGATATAACTTTTACACTTCCTCCACAAAACAGTGTCCAACATACCCTGGATATCTGGTTCATCTCATTGAACACTACTCGACTTGTTGGATAGTGGCTAGCAATGGAATACAGCTTAATACGTATTTCGTCTCACTTAAGACTGGTTAGCTGGGTGTACCTGCATTCCAGTGGGTGATATTTTCTCCCCAAAGACTGGAAGTGAGAACGAATCTCTTCAAACACTAGAGCCTTATCCACTTGACCACTGAGTCACAGCAGTCATTCCTTTTACGATGGATATAGTATAGTTTTCGATGATGACGAAGATGAAGAATATCATCAATATTGAGGCCTCTGTATAGAAGTAGGAAATAAAACTGAAAAGTTTTTTTAATTCACTGACAGAATAAAAACCAACTTGAAAGATGAAAAAAAAACACTGAGCACCTACGATCCAACTAGGGGTTGGACTTAGGCTCATAAGTGTCATAATTGTGTACTGCTGAGGAGTCCCATACTAGAACGAAATAGCTTTACACTGCTCCCAGATTTTCAGTGGCTAATTTCTTTGATGGCCTAGATGATGACAGAAGTTGCACAAGTTTCTTCTAGATACAAAGGTGTATGGCAACAACTTTTGCTGGGTGTAGCAAGCGAATACATTGGCTATGTTGAAGGCTCGATTCAATGCGGTAAGAAACTTTAACCAGCAGTAGGTTTCCTGTAGACCAATTATCCTCTTCACTTATGCTGAACTGTAGTATTTCACCAGCTATATGAATTGATTCTACTCGACAAGCTGAACTTGTCTGAATACACTGTTGATAAGCTGAGCTGTGAAAGAGTAAAACTACCGCCTGATGATGTTTGAATCACTCTCATCTGGCTGACGAAATACTACAGGTCAGCCTAACTAGTAGTGATTTTTCACCTGTTGATAACACTTTTTGTTGAACATCACACCTTATGATCTCGACTGAGTGGTTGCCAACATAGGCCTTGTTCACAGGACAGTTTTAAATCATTTGTAAATCAATAGTAATACTGACATTCAGAAATATACATCACTAGTGTTGCCAGTATAGAATCGTCTTGATGGTAAGATTATGAGCAGTATTTTACACTGTACATCAGGGTAAAGATAGTGTCACGGTATACATAGACAAGCTTCCATTCGGAGGCCTCTGTAACTGTACAATCCGTTCCACTGACTTATCTTCCTTCCTGAATACTCCGCCATTAAGCTCAACGTTTAACAAGCTGACAGTTATCTCATATACACGCTATAGATGAAGTATTTTGGAAAATCCTCAAGAGAATCTTTATTCATCTTTGATTTCAGCAATTATGTTCTATCAGGGTTAGTAAAATTTCTTACATGAAGCGTGTGCTCTGCATATTTAACTATTTTACTTCGTATTCTTGAACTGGTTGTAAAGAATCACATAATAGGCACTTTTATATTACATACAACATGAGTTAGCTACTACACTTGTGAACCCTTTAAGAATAACCCTTAGAGTAATTCACTGATAGTCATTTGATGACTCGTAAGCTAGAAGAAACCGTGAAATGATATGACAGGATCGTGGTTTCAACATTTTCTATAATCCCTCAGAAAGGCAGTTCCTATCGGTTCACTCTTGGTATTCACAAGTAAAATTACATGACGTTTCGTGAAATATTCACCTATCTGATTGTTTGTGAATGTGTTGAAGGAAATTATAAATAATCAAGGAATTAGTAGTGCCTTACACATACACACACACACATCTTTTGAAAATGTTTCATTTTGATGGAAATACATTTGAATGTTTTTCTTCGAATGCGTTTTTTTTTTTCGTCCAGCTACACCATTAGAATATGCAGCTGAATTATCTGATCCAAGGGAAATGATTTTACAACTTGTCAATGCTGGAGCTCACTTAGACTATCGTGATGGTGATACTATGACAGCATTGCACAGAGCTGCTATCTGGGGGAATTTAAAAGCAATTGAGGTATATTTATGAACTAAACGTTTACTTCTATAAAAGTTATACATTAATTAGCCTGAAATATTTGAAATGGATTTGTATATCACATACATTTATATGCTAAGGATGAACAAATGAGAATTTCAAGGTCGTGAGGAAATGTACGCAAAACTGAAAGCCTTCACATTGAATCAGTTTATTAAAGAGAGTCAATAAATCTACCTGGATAATTTTCTAGAGTGAAACATGGAAGAAACTTTAGAGACTTAGAGGAGAATTGAGGAGCGTTTCGCATATCATTATTACTATTATTATTATTATTATTGTTATCATAATCATTATTATTTGTCCTTTGGGTTCCTAATGGAACATACCGCTTCAATAGCTCGTCTCCATTACACTCTCTTCTCTGCAATCTTTTCAACCTGACTGCACCACTGCCCAGAAACTCTCATTTCCTCCTCACACCATCTCCTCCATGTCAACCTCAACTCAGACGCCCAACTCGTCACTTCCCATCAGGGTTCCACTCGAGCAACTCGCCTGGCAAGTCATGTCCCCAATCGGCCTTCTTAATGTATGCTCAATCCATCTCCACTTCCTTTCACTGCATATTTGTTCAGAGATAGGTTCTTGTTTGATTCGTTGCCTGACCAGAGTTCCTTGTTGCTTATTCTTATTATGCTGATCATCTGAGCTTCACTATCGAACCAGCGTAGACGGCAGTTGTTCATGAATATCTGTAATTTGTTGGAAATCCCTTTCGTAACGCGCCAAGTCTCTGAACCATCACACTGCAGCACTGACTTGACTGGCATTGGTGTTGAAAATTCGGATGTTGTTCACGCTGCATGCTGAGTGAGGACGATCTCAACAATGGTTTAAGGCTGATGAACGCCTGTCTAACTTTTCCGGTCCTGACTTTGACATCCTCGTCCGTGCCACCTGTAGTTGGGACAGTTTTGCCTAGGTAGGTGAAAGAGGTGACTTCCTTTTAGTTTCTCCCGTTGATGATGATTGGGGCTTGTTGTTGTTGGTTAGGTATCTTCATCACATCACCTCTGTCTCCTGTATATTCATCTGAAGTCCCGTCTCCGCTGCCTCTCCTCTTCTGTCTACTTGTTAGTTTTCGCTTGTAGATCTTCAAGTTTGTGTGACATCAAACTCAAGCCATCGGCGAAATCCAAGTCTTCCAGGCCTTTTTTTCCATCCGGCCAGCGTATCCCCCTCTTCTCACAGCTCCCCACTGTTTGCTGCATCATCCAGTCGACCACAATCAGGAATATCATAGGTGATAGTAGACAACCTTGTTTCACTCCTATCTTCACTTCAAAAGCATCACTGAGCTTCCCATTGTGAATTACTTGGCTGGCATGTGGTGTCTTCATATAGTTGTTGAATGAGGCTGATAAAGATTTGTGGTATTCCGTAGTATTGAAGCAGTTTCCAAATTACCTCTCAGTCGACGTTGTCAAAGGCCTCCTCAAAGTCGATGAAGTTGAGGTAGAGTTGAGTTGACTGCTATTCTATACTCTGTTCTATGATGATGCGTGGCGTTGCAATTTGGTCCGCACATGATTTGTACTTCCTGAAGCCTGCCCGTTCCGGTCGTATATACATCGATGTTATATATAAAAACTCTCAGGCTCTTATTGAGTTATGAACGAATGCCTGGTTATTGTCGGTGATTTCAGTTTGATTAGTAATGATAGAAAATGGCAAACAGGATGAATATTTTGTCCTCTTGAGGATTTAACAGTTAGACACTTTCTGAATTCATTTGTTTGCTACATGGCATGACTAACCAGTGTCTAAGTAACCTTATCTAATGGAGGTTTATAACCTCATCAACTGATAAGCATGTCTCAAATAAAACTGTACACTTTAACTCTTTATTGCCTATGTGATTGTTTCTTTTTGTACTTTGACATTATGGTAGTAGTGGCAGTTGAATATCTGGTGCCTACAGAACTGCTTCAATTTCAGTGGCGATACTTCTACTACCTTAGTGTAGAACACAAAGAATTGGCATGCAGGATATTCTACTCTTCGTAGGCAAGTGAATGTTTCATCGACGCCTAAAACAACTTAATCTGGAGAAAATCAGTCTTACCTTTGTATACATGAATATATTGTGTCAGTTATTAATCTATTTAGACGGATTTGTTAAACCAGATGAATGAAAGGATCCCTGAGTTCATTCACTTCATCTTTTTCCTATTGAACAAAGTTTCAGCATTGAACACTTATGAAGAAACAATTTTCTTCTGTTAGGTTAGAAGAAATCAAGTGAATATACAGGAGACAGAGGTGATGTGATGAAGATACCTAACCAACAACAACAAGCCCCAATCATCATCAACGGGAGAAACTAAAAGGAAGTCACCTCTTTCACCTACCTAGGCAAAACTGTCCCAACTACAGGTGGCACGGACGAGGATGTCAAAGTCAGGACCGGAAAAGTTAGACAGGCGTTCATCAGCCTTAAACCATTGTTGAGATCGTCCTCACTCAGCATGCAGCGTGAACAACATCCGAATTTTCAACACCAATGCCAGTCAAGTCAGTGCTGCAGTGTGATGGTTCAGAGACTTGGCGCGTTACGAAAGGGATTTCCAACAAATTACAGATATTCATGAACAACTGCCGTCTACGCTGGTTCGATAGTGAAGCTCAGATGATCAGCATAATAAGAATAAGCAACAAGGAACTCTGGTCAGGCAACGAATCAAACAAGAACCTATCTCTGAACAAATATGCAGTGAAAGGAAGTGGAGATGGATTGAGCATACATTAAGAAGGCCGATTGGGGACATGACTTGCCAGGCGAGTTGCTCGAGTGGAACCCTGATGGGAAGTGACGAGTTGGGCGTCTGAGTTGAGGTTGACATGGAGGAGATGGTGTGAGGAGGAAATGAGAGTTTCTGGGCAGTGGTGCAGTCAGGTTGAAAAGATTGCAGAGAAGAGAGTGTAATGGAGACGAGCTATTGAAGCGGTATGTTCCATTAGGAACCCAAAGGACAAATAATCATAATAAGGGTAAAAGAAAGCATGACGAATATTCTTAAATCTTTACTTAAGTTGTTCAGAAAATGTTTTGTTAAACTGGAAGTTACCATTATAAGGTATGGTCACTGGCAATAAGCATTCAATAGGCAACCTATAAGCAACCTTTACCTCCAGATTCCAAAAACTAACGGAATGTTTAATTTTAGACAATATATACAAAATTTATGCAGTGTATAGATTCATTTAGTTAACAATCTCTTACACTCGTTTATACACAGGATGATATTATAAAATGATCAGTTATCACAAAGCTAGGTCACTTCATCAGCACTTACTTCACAGAATATGAAGTAAACACTAATAAAGTGACCTAGCTTAGTCATACGATGTCTAAAAACAAATCTGACTTTACATTCTCATACATTAGAAGTATCAAAAGTAAATTGTCGATAGTACTTGGGCATTATTACAATCTCCTAAATGTCAATAACGAATGTTACTATGAAATGATATATTAGAAGAAATGGTGTAGTGGACTACGCTCTGGTAGTTACAATGATAGATGATTCATTCAATTCTCAGAAGGGATAGTCACACAAATGTACACTAATCCGATGTGGAATGTATTGCTTAAACTCACTTGTCATCTAGTTATTTATCACCGTTGCATTTGCATTATGTTTAAACTTAACATATATTTCTTCGGTTGATTGAGAGTAATCAAAAAGTAACTTTAAATGACCGAATTTTTATGTTCTTCGATATTCGACATCATAGACTATGTGTAACCCTAAAAGAATTCATATCTTTTCAGGAGATTTAGACCTATACTATTCATTTCAGAAGTTAATGACTTCATGAATAAGATATTCAGACTATGATTGACGTTTAATAGTAGGACTGGATTAAGTTTATTGATTTCATCTGCTAAATATCTAAAAGTCATGTTCATGCAAACATATATCCAATATTTCAAGTTGTTATTCATCGAAGACTGACATCAGTTGGAGGAACAAAGGAAACCTGGGAGCACTGGACAGCTGTTTCGTCCTAGTATGGGACTCCTCAGCAGTGCGCACCCACGACCTCACCAGCAGGGATGGAACCCGCGACCTTCAGGTTCCGCGACCAGCGCATTACCATTGAGCCACTGGGTCAGAATCCAATGCTCCATATTTCCAACTTCTGTTAGCTCACGATATAGCACGAACCGCCACCTAATGTCATCGTTGAGTATTTGTCCTCACGGCCATCAGGCTTGACTCCAACGGTCACTACTTTGGTCGCGGAACCTGAAGGTCGCGGGTTCCATCCCTGCTGGTGGGGTCGTGGGTGCGCACTCCTGAGGAGTCCCATACTAGGACGAAACAGCTGTCAAGTGCTCCCAGGTTTCCTTTGTTCCTCCAACTGATGTCAGTCTTCGATGAATAACAACTTGAAATATTTCCAAATCTCCACAACCCCCTCAAAATTTAATATATTCAATAACCTAATTTTGATTATACATATTCTACAGGTTTTCTTAGAACTTGGACAAAATCCAAATATTCGAGATAATCAAGGTCTTACACCATTGTATTATGCTTGTTCAGAAGATATTCCACCTGGTTGTATTAAACGATTATTATTTGATCATGCAATTCTTGGGATAACAGATGATAAAGGTAGACAAGAAATTCATCAAGTGAGTTCATTAAATAACTAAAATTTTAAGGTTTTATTCATCATTAACTGACAGCAGTTAAAGAATCGTTCAACTATTGATTATTAACTCATTCATCATGAAACCTGAAGGTAATAAGTTCAATCGTTATTAGAGTGATAGATGTGTAACAATGAGGAGTCCCATATTGGCACAAAACAGCTGTCTAGTATTCATATTCATAAAAATCCTCGATCCACATTTATCTAGTAAATAATATCGGAATTCCTTCTGTTTCTACAAAAATATAACGGATACTTGATATTTCAAGTTGTTATTCATCGTAGACTGACATCAGTTGGAGGAACAAATGAAACCTGGGAGCACTGAACAACCCTCTCGTCCTAGTATGGGACTCCTCAGCAGTGAGCAACAATGACCCGCACTCCAGGGATCGAACCCACGATCTTCAGATTCCGCGGCCAGCACGTTACTATTGAACCACTGGGTCAGAATCCAGTGGTCCATATATACAACTTCTATTCGCTCACGATATAACTGTCCTCACGATCATCATGCTTTGACTCCACTGGTCACGACTTCTTATTGGAATTTCGGAAATACCTCTCGAAGCTAGTCACCAATGAGCACGAATGAGCACTGGATCTAACAGGAGTTGAAAATATGGACCACCGAATTCTGACCCAGTGGTTCAATAGTAACGTGCTGGCCGCGGAATCTGAAGATCGTGGGTTCGATCCCTGGAGTGTGGGTCATTGTTGCGCACTGCTGAGGAGTCCCATACTAGGACGAGAGGGTTGTTCAGTGCTCCCAGGTTTCCTTTGTTCCTCTAACTGATGTCAGTCTACGATGAATAACAGTCTGAAATATTTGAAGACTACTTCAATTCAGTTTTCAATTATACTAATAGTAGACCGGTTGGCTTATGTTAATCCTTGCAGAAAATATCTCTGTAAAGATTTAGTTTCTTCTTGAATGCGTTGACATAAGATGTTGATACTACTTGCTGAATTAAGGAGTTCTAGTCGTTGACAACACTATAGGAGTAACGCAAATTCACACCAGGTTGATCCGATCATGTCTTTTGAATTTTCTTGTGATGCCTTCGGAGATGGTCAGTCCCAGCAGGAGTGAAAGGATAAGACATGTCAGTACCGAAATCAGTATTAACAATACGAAATGCCAGTGTGAGATCACCCCGTTTTTACAGTGAAACAGTGGGAATAAGTTTGGCCGATCTAATAGTCGTTCCTCATAGGAGAGATTTGAAAAGCCTGACAAACGCTTAGTACCTATCCTTTGAACACGTTCAAGTACGTCAGCATCCTTTTTTGGGCATGAGCTGGTAGCCTGAATACAGTATTCCAAGTGAGGTCTAACGTAAGTAGAATAAAGTATTTCGAACATGTCCTGATCAAAACTTTTGGAAGCTTTCCAGATGGACTATAATAAGCTGAAGCTCTTTGCTGCATCTGCATTACAGTTTGCCGAGGTTTTCAAATCATGACTAATGATGACACCTAAGTCTTTAAGTTCAAAGACTGGGAGTAGTGGTGTACCATCAATGGAATGCTGGAAACAATTTCTATGACCAATGTTCATTATTTCACTTCTATTAGGGTTGATTTCCAGGCACCAACCTTTGGATCAACCTACTGGTTCATCCAAAGCCGCTTGAAGTGTATACGTATCAGTATCACTACATATGGCTATGCAAATATTTACATCATCAGAGAATAGCAATACCGCAGAGTTGAGCATTTTCGATTATTCATTGAGATATAGCCACGAAAGTAGTGGACCTAGGATTGTTCGTTGAGGGACTCCACTAATAACAGGTTTTCACCCTAACAGCATCCTATTAAGCCTCACTCTCTGCCTTCTATTGTACAGAAAGTCCCTAATCCAGGCTTGGAATGAAGCATCAAACCCGAGAGAGGAGAGATTTTCTAGCAGCTTGTTATCCAACACTATCGAATGCCTTTTGAAGTCTATAAACACGGCATCTATTGGCAGCTTGTAATCACATTCGTCAACATCTGCCTACGCTGACTCAATAATGATCAGATGGTCAGAATAATAAGAATAAGCAAGAAGGAACTTTGACTGGCTGGCAACGAACCAACCAAGAACCTATCGCCCAACAAATATGCAGTGGAAGAGAGTGGAGATGGATTGGGCATACACTGAGAAAACCATTCGGAGACATCACGCTCTAGGTCAGGCCCTCGACTGGGATCCGAAGGGGAAACGACGAGCTGGGCATCTGAGTCGAGGATGACATGGAGAAGATGGTGTGAGGAAAAAAATGAGAACTTCTGGGCAGTTGTGGAGCCAGGTTCAAAAGACTGCAGAGAACAGAGTGCAATGAAGGTGTGCTACTGAAACCGTATGTTCCACTAGAAACCCAAGGAAAAAATAATAAAATAGTAATAATCACAAGTTTGTAAAACAGGAGTGTCCAGTACAAAAACCATGTTGCTGTAGTGTCAAAAGACTAGTTGATTCAATATTTTTAAATACATTATCACAAATTATTTTTTTTCTAAAACCTTAATAACTATGCTATTTAGACTCACACAGCGACAGTTAGACACCGACTGGAGACTACCAGCTTTAAAACTAAGCTGATTATGATGTCTTTCTAGTCTCTAGGATGACAAATCTGAGACAGAGACATGTTGAAAAGATCATTGACTTGTTTAACAATAATGTTTACTAGCAAAGATAGCAGTCTGGGACATAACTCATTAGGACCCAGGCATTTTCTAGGTTTAACATTAGTGAGCAACTGTGAGGCTGTTTCTTTTGTTATGAACTCTGTGTTCAATGATTCATCATAACTTGATAAACCAAGAACAATGACTAATTTCTCAACACTTGTTTAACCAATACAATCCAACAGTTTCTTCAAATTAGTCTTTTATGTATATGCATATAACTATACGTAGAAATTACGGAAGAACAGGTAGATAGGAAGATAGAAAAGACAAACGCTCTGAGATAAAAGTAGTTTGTAAGAACTTTAGATGATTTAAATGGTCAGTATACTGACATGTTGAACTCAGTACGATGAGTAAGGTGAACACATGTCTTGCTGCCTCATCGACTAAACATCTTGATAAGTTTTTTTAAGCTAGAGACTTCAGAACAAGGAAACTCTACGAATAAGACATAATTTTTAGAAAACTTTATCTTCAACTCAGTTATAAATTTATTAGTACTTACAGATATGAAAATTATTATCTCTTTCATTGTAATTTGAGGCTCTATAGAAGTTATACAATGTTGAAAATTGACAGAAGTGTTAAAATGTAAACCAGCTAACCCGTATAGTTGAATAGCAATGGAATAAAAGACATGACTCTCATGCGTTTAATCCATTATGTATTCATAAGTGTATACAAAAGGTGGAGATTCATATTATTGAGGAATATTTGTCTAAAACATCTAGATTCTCAGTGATTAAGGTAAAAATGAATAATTTTGCTAATTGTTCAGCAAATTTGTACATATGTGTATGTATCAGTTCACCTGTTGTTGTGCAGCCAGGTATATAAGTCATTCGACGCTATCCACATTATCCCATGTGGTTACTAAGAGGTAACAATGGAGCGATAAGCGGTGCAATAACTGAATACATCGTGAACACAAATCAATCTATCTGAAAAACCTCCTGGTTTAAAGTTAGTTATAAAGTGAAAACAAACCTCCCAAAGGCTGCATGTCTTTGTATTCTCTACATCATGGAAGGTCTTACCAACCAAATCGAAAAGCCTGAACTGTGTACACTAAAGTAGATTGTTCAACCTCTTCTCCTTTCATGCTCTTAGTTTTCAGTCTTCTCTACTCCTCCTCCTCCCCCCCCCATTTTTTTCTTTTCATCTCTCTATTTCAACATTATTCACTTCTTAACAAATTTTCCTAAGCATTTTTGTTGCTACGTTCTGCAGAATCACAAATCAGTTTCCAAACTTCTTGTTCAAACTTATTTTGATGAATATTCAACACTCATCAGTTTTTTAGATTTTCTAGTTTTAATGATAGGTCATTTATTGAAACCCTTTGTGTTGCTGGCCATGCTTGACAAACCGTTTTTAACCATCAATTCCTTACACATTGGAAAAAATGTATAAATTTACGATTGTATTATTATTATTATTATTATTATTATTAGTCCCTTAGGTTCCTAGTGGAATATAGGGCTTCAGTAGCACGTCTCCAATGAACTCTGTTCTCTGAAATCTTTTGAACCTGGCTCCACGACAGCCCACAAGCTCTCATTCCCTCCTCGCACGATCTCCTCCATGTCACCCTCGCCTCGGACACCCAACTCATCGCTTTCCATGGGGATTCCACTCGAGGGCCTCGCCTGACTTGTGATGTCCACAGTCGGCTTTCTCAGTGTATGCCCAATCCATCTCCACTTCCTTTCACTGCATATTTGTTCAGAGATAGGTTCTTGGTTGATTCGTTGCCTGACCAGAGTTCCTTGTTGCTTATTCTTATTATTCTGGTCATCTGAGCTTCACCATCGAACCAGCGTAGACGGCAGTTGTTCATGAATATCTGTAATTTGTTGGAAATCCCTTTCGTAACGCGCCAAGTCTCTGAAACATCACACTGCAGCACTGACTTGACTGGCATTGGTGTTGAAAATTCGGATGTTGTTCACGCTGCATGCTGAGTGAGGAAGATCTCAACAATGGTTTCAGGCTAATAAACGCCTGTTTTGCTTTTCAGATTCTGACTTTGACATCCTCGTCTGTCCCGCCTGTAGTTGGGACAGTGCTTCCTGGATAGGTGAAAGAGGTGACTTCCTTTTAGTTTCTCCCGTTGATGGTGATTGGAGTTTGTTGTTGTTTCTGGAGTCGTTGGTGCGGTATCTTCATCACATCACCTCTGTCTCCTGTATATTCATCTGAAGTCCCGTCTTCGCTGCCTCTTCTGACAACTTGTTACGTTTGGCCTGTAGATCTTCAAGTTTGTGTGACATCGAGCACAAGTCAATGTTGGCGAAATCCTGACCTTCTAGGTTCTTTTCCGCAGTCCAGCCGGCGTATCCCCCTCTTCTCGCTGCCCACTGTTTGCTGCATCATCATCCAGTCGACCACAATCAGGTATATCATAGGTGATAGTAGGCAACCTTGTTTCACTTCTCTCTTCACTTCAAAAGCATCACTGAGCTTCCCAGTGTGAATTACTTGGCTGGCATGTGGTGTCTTCATATAGTTGTTGAATGAGGCTGATAAAGATTTGTGGTATTCCGTAGTATTGAAGCAGTTTCCAAATTACCTCTCAGTCGACGTTGTCAAAGGCCTCCTCAAAGTCGATGAAGTTGAGGTAGAGTTGAGTTGACTGCCATTCTATACTCTGTTCTATGATGATGCGAAGCGTTGCCATTGGTCCGCACATGATTTGTACTTCCTGAAGCCTGCCCGTTCCGGTCGAATTTACGATTGTACAGGTTTGAAAATGAAATCACCTGAAAGATACTGTTGGCTGAAATATGCATGTTCTTTCTTCAAATTTGAAATACTCATCATCGACATATAGGATGACTTTAAAGGCCAATCTAGTGACTGATGAGGCAGATAGTTACATTTTTTTATTTCATGGACAACTACTTTCCCAGGCGAAATATCAAAGTCTGATTGGTCTATTCCCTAGTTGCTAGGGTGGCCATTAAAGTCACTTGATATATGCTGATGATTGAAAATTATATTGATTATCATTTAACTATCTGAGATAGGTATAGTTTGTCAGACTAGTATTTTTACTAAGTGATGATTGAAGGCGAGATGAAAATCTGGACCGCGGCTGGATTCAAACCAGCGACCACTGGGTTTCCAGCCCTATGCTATAACAATTGAGCTATCTATGAGTTTGACTGCTGACCAGATTCTTATTTCATTTCAATCACCAAGGGTTTTGCCCAACCACCATGTGAATTCGTGATTAAAATGAAATAAAAATCTGGTTAGCAGTCGAACTTCTTGGCTACCACAATTGGCAGAGCACTGGGCCCGAAACCGGTGGTCGCTAGTTCGAACCCGAGGCAGCGGTCCAGATTTTCATCTCACCTTCATTCATCACCCAGTAAAAGTACTAGTCTGCCAAACTAAAGATATCTCAGATAGTTAATTGATAATCAATATGATGCTCTCCCTTTCTGATTCAGTTAGATTTAGATTGGAGATGAGAAGTCCTGACTAGGCAGTGAGTGTGAATACGATCAACTGGTAGTAACACGTAACAAATTCGCATGTTGGTTGGACAAAACTTTCGGTAATTGAAGTGAAATAAGAATCTGGTCAGCAGTCGAACTCATAGATAGCTTAGTTGTTACAGCATCGGGCTAGAAACCCGGTGGTCGCTGGTTCGAATCCCGTAGCAGTCCAGTTTTCATCTCACCTTCAATCATCACTCATTTCAAATATGAAAACTATATGCCATAAATACACAATCATTTTATTTATGCTCAAACTTTTTATTGTAACTTTCTCTTCAATCCTTTTATAATAAAGGCTTGTTTAAATGGTCGAAAAGAAACCTTGGAACAATTGATCATATATGGAGCTGATTTAAATGCACAAGTTGAAAATCATAATACACCAATACATTTATGTATATTAGCTGATGAAGTAGAATGCCTTAAATTATTGTTACGTTGTGGAGCTTCAACAACAATTGTTAATTCTTCTGGACAAACACCATATGAGTTAGCTGTACTAATTGAACGTATGTATTTAGCGAATATATTACAGAATTTCGATGAGAAATCAGTTAGTAAGTATCCTTATTCGTTTATTCGGAGAATAGATTATATGTAATACAGTTAGAACGATCATTGAGTAAAATAATATGCATATATGTTAGTTGAATGATGTCAATAGATAGAAGACCTAACTTTATTTGGATTTCATATTTTTTGACACTTTTTAACAACTGAACTGAAGTTCTATGTAAGATTTGAAACTATATCACCCAGTGCTACATTCAAAGAAGTTACCACCTAGCCATTCAGGTCACAATTTAGTTGCTTTTTAGATTACATTCTAACAAACTACCAACAATCTTAATATTGGGATACATATATGAGAATTTGTTTTGAGAAAGTCATAACTTTATTTGTAAACTAACTGATGTTGTAGAAACTATGCAGATAGTTTAACTCTGTGTGAAAAAGATGAAGAGTAAGTTTATCGGATTGACAACTTTTCTTGTTGAAGGTAATTAAGACTGACGAGGTATATGATATTACAATGTGTAAAAGAGTAAGATGAGCCATACTTAGTCAGAAAGATGATGATACAGTAATTCCAATATTACAATATTGGTTATAATCTTGATAAGAATGTCAAGTATGTCACGTGTGCCTTTTTAGACTAGATTTCGATATTTAATTCCATCCCAAGACCTCTTTTACTGGACAAACTAAGGAGGATAAATACTGAGTCTTGGATAACCAGTTGGGTGGATTCTTATTTCTCTGAAAGGGAACAATATACTTTTCACAGGGAGAAGCGCTACACCTCAATGCTTATTGTGACCGGAGTTCATCAAGAAGCCGTTATTTCTTTTTCTTTCTGCATGACTCACCACCTTCAACTAGTATCAGTCTGATTAAATACGCTGTCTTGTCTTCAGGAGATTGTTTCTAATTGAGTGATTTCCTATGTGCTGTTAGACGACGGTCCTTCAAGAATGGTCTTAAAGCTTAATTGTTCAAAATGTCAGACCATAAATTTTAGTTTCAGACGTGAACATAATCTGTGTAAGCTACTTGGTTCTCATGATTCCTATTCTATTGATAGTGGTGCATTAGAGAATATTACAAGTGTGACTTATCTCGGTGTGTGCTATTCTTCGGACCTTTTATGGTCTTCTCATATCTTACTAACTTTCTATATTAGGAAGCTGAGAGTATCTGGTTGTGTGTAAACTTCTGTACCTTGCCTACTCTCCTCTGTTGTTCCCTTTATTTTTTCCCGGGTTGTTGAAAAGAGACTATGCTGCTATATTGCATAGAAAGTTGAACATCCTCAGAAGAACTGGTGGTTTACCTCTAAAACCTTGTAATTAAAACAGCTGTGGATAAATATATTAACTCTGGTTAGAGTAATTTCATCAGATGACGAGGATGCTATTCACTCAAAACTCTTTCTATGTCGGTCATCTGAAAAGACAAGCAGCAAGTAAATAAAACTTTATGCAAGTACTATAAAATATAAAAACTCTACAATACTATAAGTATTTAGCTCATCTCCTATACAATGAAGAAAGCGTTAGAAATGAACTAACTAATCAACTTCTGTTTTTGTAAGCGAACTGACTGATAAGTATACAACATGTTACTATCTACGTATCATGAACTTAATTGCTAATGTGATTGTCTACCCAAGTTAACTTTGTATATTAAAGAAGGTCGGAAATAGAGTGAATATTCTTATCTTTTATGTGTATAATTTCTGCTTATTCCATTTTCCTATTTATACATGTATACTATCTCGATCCAATTGATGCTATATGACATGTTGAACATTCTGTACATTACTCTCTAAATAGCTTTCAGAATAAAAAGTTATATAACAGTTAACATCATAAAATGAAATTTTTCTAATGTATTAAGGTGAACACTACTTATAAAAACGTATTTCAGTAGTACATGGCATAGCTTTTGAAAATGTAGGAAATGATAGCAGTTAAATATTGACTATTCATTAGGGAAATAGATACAATACTGATTGTAAATCTATACGACAATAACACTATACACTAGGGGGGTCGAACAAATATGAGTTTATTATACGGTTTAATATCCTTTATCTTTAAAATAATGATTTATTGAAGCTTCTCAGTAAACAATCTCTTATGTAGTAGATTTTTATTTGACTTCATTTGAATTTTGAAGAAGTTGTGGGGATTTAGAAATATTTCAAGTAGTTATTCATCGTAGACTGACATCAGTTGGAGAGGAATAAAGGAAATCTGAGAGCACTGGACAGCTGTTTCGTCCTAGTATGGGACTCCTCAGTAGTGCGCACCTACGATCCCGCACTCCAGGGATCGAACCTGAGACCTTCAACATCCGTGACCAGCACGTTACCATTGAACCACTGGGTCAGAATTCAATAACGTATATCATATAGTGAAACAGACTAATTGTTTAGATAACATTGAGGGTATAATTCATTGTGTATAGTCATATCAAGCCACGAAACATGATTTGAACAGTCCTAATTCTGTAATTAACGCATAGCCACTTTCCATATATCTGGAATAGGTTCTGTAATATTACTGTTAGATGTATTCGATATTGATTCGATGAACAAAGATTTAATTAGCAATCTCTCCTTGTCATCTAAATAAGTTACTGATAAATTATGAAGGAATCATGGGAAAAATATAATCAATAATGGTAACATATATGTTAATAATGATAATGGTATCAATGTGGAGAGAAAATTGAAATTCCCACAAAGGTTTTTGAATAAGTCTGGGATTAGAGTGTCACTTAAACCTAAATCTCACTTAAAAAATAAGTTTTGTAAGTTAAAATATCCAGGCTGCGCATTTCGTCCTATTTGGGACTTGTCAGCTGGATGTGCCTGCTTCCCGGTGAGTGATATTGTTCCCATCGGGATTCTTTGGTGGTAGGTTGGTGGCGTAGTGGATAACGCACTGGCATTTGAAGCGCTTGCTCCTGAGTTCGAATCCCGGTGGGAAGAACATCACTCACCGGGAAGCAGGGTCATCAAGCTGACGAGTCCTAAATAGGACGAAATGCGTGTCCTGGATTCCTTTGCTAGCCACTGCCCTTTTATATTATACATAATTGAAAAACAGGTTATATGGAGGCATCCGCACAGGATCCTATATGACAACAGACATCGATCAATTCAGTCCAATCGACGACGATAGGATATTAAAACAATTATATAGATTTTGAGGGAGTTGTGGAGATTTGGAATTATTTCAAGTTGTTATTCATTTTAGACTGACATCAGTTGGAGGAACAAAGGAAACCTAGGAGCACTGGACAGCTGTTTCGTCCTAGTATGGGACTCCTCAGCAGTGCGCACCCACGACCCCAGCAGCAGGGATGGAACCCGCGACCTTCAGATTCCGCCACCAGCGCGTTACCATTGAGCTAGCCACTGGGTCAGAATCCAATGCTCCATATTTCCAACTTCTGTTAGCTCACGATATATAGTGCAACGGTGACGCTCAATGGTGACGCGCTGGCCGCGGAACCTGAAGGTCTCGGGTTCCATCCCTGCTGGTGGGGTCGTGGATGCACACTGCTGAGGAGTCCCATACTAGTCTGAGGAAACAGCTGTCCAGTGCTGCCAGGTTTCCTTTGTTCCTCCAACTGATGTCAGTCTACAATGAATAATAACTTGAAATTATATAGATATTAAAATATCCAATTGATTCAATAAGGCAGAATAATTTCGTTTGGCAGATCTTTTGCATTGTTTACAATATCAATACATTCATAGGTGAGATGAGTCGACCAGGGTCAGTATAAAAACCTGTCTAAATCAAGATTGCTAGGCTGAAATTAGATGAATAATCTGAAAGATAAGATAGTCTACAGCTAAGCATGAAAGATTAACTTATTCATGGGGAGAAAGATTGATAACTGAATCTTCTTTCATCGAATTAACACTAAATGTATGGAAAAGGAGTGACTTAACACCTGGTCTACATATATATAAAACTCTATTGAACATATCGCAAATATATTCAGAATTGTAAAGCTGTGCCAAGATGAAGATACCATAGTTTTGTGTCTTGGGCTACTCAGTATGAAGGTAGACTAACCAGTACAAATAATCTTAACATGATTAGTGGAAAGAGTGGCTATTACTGGTGTTCAACAGTTGAAGCTTCTAAGTACAGATCTACAGATGAGTAATATAGACTTAGAAATGATATCCAGAGAGCTGATGAGCACTGTCGTGTTGGTGATAGAAAGTAACAGTATCAATTAATCATATAGTTAAGTTGATAGAGACGTGGATTACGCAATCTCTGTTCATTGATTCACTGAGTGATAAAATTCCAAGTTATTATTCATTGCAGACTGACACCGTTTGGAGGAACAAAAGAAACCTGGGAGCACTAGACAGCTGTTTCGTCCTAGTATGAGACTCCTCAGCAGTGTGCATCCACGACCCCGCACTCCAGGGATCGGACCCGCGATCTTCAGGTTCCGCGGCCAGCACGTTACCATTGAACCACTAGGTCAGAATCCAATGTTCCATACTTCCAACTTTTGTTAGCTTACGATGAACAACAGGTTGAAATATTTCCAAGTCTCTACAACTCCCTCAAAACAACATTCCACAATATCAATTCCAGATGTGTGAAAATTTTTATTACTATTTCAATCAAAGAATAAAAACAATAGGGCTATTATAAAAATTTAACCAGGAAATAGGGTGAGGATTACCTTGATATGATTATCAGGAATAACTTCAATATTAGATTTGTTTATTTGATTTATAACACACGGTGATATAGTATTAGTCAATGGATGACGTTTCGAACACAAACTCTCTATTGGTCATAATCATATCAATGTGCAATCATACTCCACTTTCGACATCTGATATTTATAGTCTTATCGCTTCATATTGGCGTCACTTCCATTATCACATGTGTAGACAGGGTGTTGATTCGATGAACAAAGATTCAGTAATCAACCTCTCTCTCTCTCTATCCCTCTCTTCACCTAATTGTATTCAACTTGAGTACAGTACATATAAGAAACGAAATAACAACAGTAACATGTGTACAAATAATAACGTGAATATGAGTAGAAAGGAGTTCATAGCCTCCATTGGAATTCTCAACAAGGCTTAATTTAGGGTGACATTTAAACCTACAAACTCACTCAGAGATAAACTTTGTCGGCCGGTTTAAGGATACAGTAGAGCCAGTTCAGCAAAAGAATCCAATCTATCAAATCCCATGTAATGACTGTGAGGTCAAGCACATAGGTCCAACTACCCGGTTGGGGTCAGTTAGATTAGTGGGACATAGGAATTCAGTTAAATGTAGAATGGGAGACCCGAATATATGACCAATAATCAAGAAAACAAGACTCGTTTATTCTGATGCATGCATGCACAGATTACCACACAACCACACAATAGGGTAGGTGGGATAAAACTACTGTACTCAAGTTGAATATAATTAGGTGAAGAGAGGGATAGAGAGAGAGAGGTTGATTACTGAATCTTTGTTCATCGAATCAATACCTTGTCAACACATGTAACAGGAATGACGCAACACCTACCAAACGGAAATAAGGAATATGAGGTGAAGTGTAACTACACATTGGTATGATTACGAGCAATAAATAATTGATACTCGAAACATCATCCAGTGAGTTATACTATATCACTGTGTAATGTTTATCTAACCAACAAATCTAATATGGAACTATATTTCTTTTCGCCTTGTTTTTATTCAGAAGGAATTGACAAAACACCAGTGTATAATAAAGACAGACGACCAACAATTCATGGACCGCGTGCTGTATTTGATATAATGAATTTCAGTAATCATCATCATAGTAATACAATGACTATAGGTAAATTACGTAACTGCCTATCTGTGGATAGTGAAATGACACATCACAAATATAATCGGTGCCTGTCATTTGATTACAATCGATTGACACAGTCTACACTAACACAAAATGATAAAATGGTATTTTATGGAAAAAATGATCAGATGCCTGATGATGTCAACTGTAATAACCATAATAACAACTACCATAATGATAAGACTATGAATAATAATGATGGATACAGGCCATTACTACCTTTCAGAGGATTGGCAATGAACAATAATAATGATCGTTATGGGCAGACAGTCTATTCTCGTAGTAATTCACTAGGTAAGTGTAATTACTCGGTTGGTAAACAATAATAAAAATGTCTATAGTAAATTCGTATCTAAAGAATGAATTTAAATGAGGTAGGTAAATGTTTGTGGCACTAAAACTGTAGTGTTAAAGCGGCTTTCAAATTGCTTCTCAGGAGACACTGTCGGAGGCCTTTTCAAAATCGATGAAGTTGAGGTTGTGTTGAGTTGACTGTCATTCTCTGATCTGTTCTGTGATGATGTGTAGCGTGGCGTAGCCATATGATCCACACACGATATGTTCTTCCTGAAGCTAGCCAGCCTGTTCCAGTCGTAGTTTTGAATTCAGTGCATCCTTCAGTCTTACCAGGATGATATGGCCCAATATTTCGCTTCAGGTGGACAGGAGCATGATTCCGTGCCAGTTCTGGCAAAGAATTAGGTCACCCACCCTTCTTCCAGAGTTTGACAAGGTAGCCCTTCCTCCAGTCAGATGTCGGGTAACTCTGCTTCCTTCCTTCCAAACCTTCTGCAATAGTCGTGTCAGCATATCACTCACTGGGAGGTAGGTACATGTAACTGACAAACCAGAAGTAGGATTAAAAGCACGTGCTGTATTGCACTACTAGCAATCATCCATCCATGATCATCCTGATTGTAGTTGACTGGATCATGCAGTAAACAGTGAGGAGCGAGAAGATGGGCATACGCCAGACCGATAAAAAGATCCTAGAAGATTTGGATTTCGCCGACGATTTATGCATAATATCTACAGGCAAACACTAACAAGTTGATACAGGAGGTCAGACAGCGAAGATGGGACTTCAAGTGAACGTTAAAAAGATGGGGGTGATGAAAATACACAATGAACGCCACCACCACCACCACTACCACAAACAAGTTCCAATCACCATCAATGGGAGAAACCTAAACGAAGTAGTCTCTTTCACTTATCCAGACAGGCAGCATCGTTTCAACTACAGGCGGCACAGGCACAGACGAGGATGTCAAAACCACATTGAAATATAGCTAGTTTCGTCAGCTTTTAGGAAGGAAAGTTCTTCAAACAAATAATCTCTTCTATGAGTTGTTTAGGTTCAATGACTTGGCGTGTCACGAAGAGCATTTCCAACAAACTACAGAAATTCATCAACAACTGCCGTCTACGCTGTTTCGATACTGAAGCTCAGGTGGCCAGAATAATGAGAATAAGCAACAAGGAACTCTGGTCAGGCAACCAAGAACATATCGCCCAACAACTATGTAGGGGAAGAAAGTAGAGATGGATTGAGGATACACTGAGAAGGCCGACTGGGGGCATCACATGTCAGTCCCGCGAGTGGAATTCAAACAGGAAACGACGAGTTGGGCGTCCGTGGAGAAGGTGATATGGAGGAGATCATGTGAGGAAGAAACTGAAGGTTGTGGGCAGTCGTGGTGGCAGGTTCAAAAAACTGCGAAGGACAGAGTTGATTGGAGGCGTACTAATGAAGTCTTATGTTTCACTAGGAACCCAAAGGACAAATAATAATAATACTAATATAATATGATTGGTGTTGTGATTAATAAGAAAGTTGACAAATCATACGTTTTGGTTAATTTCTATTTTAAAAGGATTTTTCAAGCAATTCATTTAATCAGACTCAACTAATTGAATAACCGCCAATTTACTGAAACATTGAAATCTTTTCAATATGATTCTTTTGTTTATTTCAGGTGGTCATACAAAATTGTGGAAATTAAGTCAATTAAGGTAATAACTAACATTGGTTTTATGCTAATATATTTATGTTAATAAGTAAATATATTTAAAACTAGCGTGTTGTATACAAGATCCAGACAACTAAGCCTGTATGCAAGCTTCATTCTTCACTGCAATTTCCTCAGTGTTACTACTATAGACTGGTGGGCTACACCAATCATGGATTCGTATGGCAGCCAAAGAGAATGTTTGGCAAACAAGATAAAGATCTGGTCGGTAACCAGGCCGAGTACTTCACTCAGTGGATTAGTGGGTCACTGGTTGTAATCCTCCCGTTACTCTGCATCTAATTTCACTATCCATTACTAATGAGTTTCAAAAAACTAGTCTGCTTAACCATGGTTATCTAAGATAGTCTAAGTTGATGGATGGGGCTGATTTCATCAACGAAACAGATTAAAGTTTCTGCTCACATATCAGTTAAGAACTCTAACATTCTTCATGTTGTACAGGACTAGTTCTTTTCTTTGTTCACAGTCTATCAAAAAGCTAGAATTGAATTTCAGGAATTGTGGGGATTCAGAGATTTCTTGTTGGTATCCATCATGGACTGACATCAGTTGGAGGGACATTAGGAACCTGCAAGCACTGGGATCCATTCATAATCTGACAGAAATTTAAAATATCAGTCATCGGATTTCCACTCATTGGCTTAGTGTTAACGTGCTGGACATGGAATCTAAATGGACTAGGTTCAATCCCTAGACGGTGCGGTCGCGAGTGAACACTTCTGAGAAGCCCGATACCAAGAAGAAACAGCTGTCCATTGCTCCCAGATTTCCAGTATTTCTTCAATTGATATCATTCTATGATGAATACCAACTTGGGATTATATTTATTCGGTAATTTTATCGGCATAATACAATATATGAGGTGGATATGGATGTCATTTCGGTTAGAATATGGAGGCGAACTAAATTATTTATCTGTTGGGTTCTTAGTGGAACATAGGGATTCAGTAACTCGTCTCCATGGCACTCTGTTCTCTACAGTCTTCAAAACCTGGCACCACGACTGCCCACAACCTTCAATTTCTTCCTCACACCATCTTCTCCGTGTCACCCTCAACTCAGATGCCCAACTCCCCGTTTCCCATCTGGGTTCCACTCGAATGTCTCGCGCTTGATGTCCGTGAATGGTCATCTCAGTGCATGTCTAATCCATCTTCACTTCCTTCCACTGCATATTTGTCGAGCGATAGGTTCTTGGTTGATTCGTTGCCCAACCACAGTTCCTTGTTGCTTATTCTCATTATTCTGGCCACCGGAGCTTCACTATCAAACCAGCGTAGACGGCAGTTGTTGATGAATTTCTGTAGTTTGTTGGAAATGCTCTTCGTGACACGCCAAGTCATTGAACCTAAACAACTCATAGAAGAGATTATTTGTTTGAAGAACTTTCCTTCCTAAAAGCTGACGAAACTAGCTACATTTCAATATGGTTTTGACATCCTCGTCTGTGCATGTGCCGCCTGTAGTTGAAACGATGCTGCCTGTCTGGGTAAGTGAAAGAGACTACTTCGTTTAGGTTTCTCCCATTGATGGTGATTGGAGCTTGTTGGTGGTAGTGGTGGTGGTGGTGGTGGTGGTGGCGTTGATTGGGTATTTTCATCACCCACATCTTTTTAACCTTCACTTGAAGTCCCATCTTCGTTGCCTGACCTCCTCTGTCAACTTGTTAGTGTTTGCCTGTAGATATTATGCATAAATCGTCGGCGAAATCCAAATCTTCTAGGATCTTTTTATCGGTCTGGCGTATGCCCATCTTCTCGCTCCTCACGGTTTACTGCATGATCCAGTCGACTACAATCAGGAAGATCATGGGTGATAGTAGACAGCCTTGTCTTTCTCCTATCTTCGCTTCAATGTCATCACTGAGCTTATGGAGGTGAATAGTAATAACAAATTTTTCATAGATATGCCGGAATAGAGTGGAAAAGAATAATGGTAATGATTTTGATGATGATTATGTTGTTGTTGATGATGAGTTGAGACTGATGCTGATGATAAATTCTTGCTTACTAATTAGTAATTGTCTTACCGGAAGAAGAGAGACGAAATAACAAGGACTCTGGACAAACATGATATAAGAAATTACTTTCGTGCAAAAAATACTCTGCGTTCTAACTTAACGAAAGTTAAGGATGTAGTCCCTGAAGGAAATCAAGAGAATTGCGTTTATGTACTGAGATGCGTAGATTGTACTGCAGTATATGAAGAGAGTAACAGTCACGTAGGTAAATGTGAGAGTGAAGGGTCAGATTTTAAAATCCTCAACAACGATTAAGAAGTTAAAAAACAAATCGGCAATCGCGCTACACTCCATTAAAAATTGGTGATAAAATTAACTTTGAAGGAACCAAGATTATAAAACTAGATTTTAGGCCATTCCAAGAGAGATTGACAGCCGATGCCCTACATATATGAGCAAACCGAGACAGTTTGAACACACGAGATGGAGTAGAGTAAGCTGACTCTTGGCAATTACTAATTAGTAAGCAGAAAGAATAACTCAAAGCATTTATCATCAACAATAGTCTCAACTTCAATATTTCTGCATCATGAACAACAACACAATCTTCATCATAATCATCATATCCAGCAGGGCATTAGAACACCTACAAGTCCACAAATATTCGCCACAATTATTTCAGTCATCTAGACTTCTATGACATATTTATGGTGTAAAATATCTGTAAGTGTTTATTATATAACCAGCGTCACCTGTGGTATATCAATTATTCAAAAAGTTAACATATTTTTTTTGACTATGTATATATATGTGTATACAAGCTGTCTGTTAATTGGTTATTGTATTTTCGCTAGACAACACTTTCCCAATAGTCGTATACGTTCAGTTACTTTAGAACGTGGAATATCTGGTTATGGTTTTATTATGCAAGGAACAGATAGTAAGCAAGTTTATCTGTATGTTAATTGTCTTTATTCTGTTGTCTTTAACTGGAGTAATTAAATAGCCGATTGATTTGAGTAGCAGTTTCAGTTAGTTTCATAAATAGTGGACTAAATCAGAGAACATATTCATTGTTATTATTATTATAAATATTATTGTTATTATTGTTACTTATCATTTGAGTTCCTAGTGGAACATAGGGCTTCAGTAGCACCTTACCATTTCACTCTCTTCCCTGAAGTCTTGCAAACCTTCCTCCACAACTTCACAGAAGATTTCATTTATTACTCACACCATCTCCTCTATGTCGCCCAACTCCTCGTTTCCCCTTTGACTTCCACTCTACGGCCTGACCTGGACAAATGAGTGATATCCTCAAACCATCTTCTCAGTCTATGCCAAAAATACAACACCACTTTCGTCCACTGCATATTTGTCAGGTGATGGGTTGTTGGTTGGTTGGTTCGTTGTTAGGCCAGTATTCCTTGTTCCTTCTTGCTTATTCTTATTATTCTGGTCATCTGATCGATCTTCAGTGTCAGTATGGAGTGAGCGTAGGCAGCAGCTGTTGATGATGTATGTGTGTAGTTTGTTGGAAATGCTTTTCGTAACACACTGCCAAGTCTCTCAACCATATAATATGGAAGCAGTGACTTGACTGAGTTAGTGTTTAAAATCCGTATGTTGTTCATGCTTGATGCTGAGTGCAGTGCAGTGAAGTGCAGTAGATCTCCATACTGATCATTTCAGATAAATGAAGGTCCGTCTTGCTGCCTTTTCAATCCTGGCTTTGACATCCTCACCTGTGCCGCCGCCGTCGTCTGTAGTTGGAACGATATTGCCTGCCTAGGTCGTAGATGAAAGAGTCAACTTCGTTTAGGTTTATCCCGTTCATAGAGATCGGTGTTGTTGTTGTTGGTTGGGTATCTTCATCACATCACCTCTGTCTTCTCTATATTCACTTGAAGACCCGTCTTCGCTGCCTCGCCTCTTCTGTCAACTTATTAGTTTTCGCCTGTAGATCTTCGAGTTTGTGTGACATTAGACACAAGTCATCGGCGAAATCCAAGTCTTTTAGGATCTTTTCCCCGGTCCAGCCAGTGTATATTCATCTTCTCTCTCCTCACAGTTTGTTTGATGATCCAGTCGACCACAATCAGGAAGATCATGGGTGACAGTAGACAGCCTTATCTTACTCCTCTCTTCACTTCAAAGGCATCACTGAGCTTTCCATTGTGAATCACTTGACATGTGGCATCTTCATATAACTGTTGAATGAGGTTGATAAAGACTAGTGGCACTCCGTAGTGTTCAAGTAGTTGCCAAATTACTTGTCGGTCGACGCTGTCAAAGGCCTTTTCAAAGTCGATAAAGTTGAGGTAGAGACTTGACTGCCATTACAAACTTTCAATTAGAAGAATAAACTTTTTTTCGGTATAAACTGAAGATATCTTCATGTATAGAGTTTTGGATTCCATAGTTGGAGATTTTCTGTCGGTGTAATTCAAGATGAGCTACAGCAATGGACACAATAATAATGATAATAATGATAATAATAATAATAATCGCTTTATTCCAAACAATATGTATGGCAGTATGGAATTCTCAGCATATAATTTTTCAACAGAACAATAATACTTTCAGACAAAATGGTTATTCTATCAGCATGATGTTAATAATAACACTATTCAAGGCAATAATAATATGAAATGGCCAGATGGTTTTGAATGGGTATCGAATCCATAATAAAGAATAAGCGTAATTTTGATGATTGTGGTGGTTCCTTCAGATACTACAAAAATCTTCAACTTAAGCTAAGCATCTGATGGATAGAAATATAAAGTACTTTTGTACACTGAAAAGTTCATTTCCATATGATCCTTTGATCCATTGATCCTTTGCTTTGTTATTGACTTAAGAAATGTAAAGTTGGAAAATAATTTTTAAAAATGTGCGATTATATATAGTATGTTCAATAGGTAGATTTACTATATATGATTAAAACAAATTGAAAGGAATGAATTTAATGAAAAATGTTCAATGGATAAATTTAGTAGTTCAATGTTCAAGCAGGCGGTTATTATAAAGTTCAGTTTATTTTCAAAATCATTTATATATGTTAATAATTTCTAAATCTGTTCATCATAGCCTATCATGCTGTCATAAAATATGGCAGACTTGTATCCATGACATTCTCTTCATCTATCTATCTAAATAATAGTTAAGGAAAAAATAAATGAACATCTTCTCTAGTAAAATTTTCATATTTCCATACAATTATTTTCTCATTCATCTTTTTTCTTCCTCTTTCTTTGTATTTCATAGCTCTGAAAGGAAGATATTCTAACAGTGTGAGCTTACCGACTCAACATATTATGAGTGTTCAACCAGATAGTAAAGCTGACAAGGCAGGACTGATTCCAGGTGACTACTTAATTGAGGTAAGCTTATTAACTAAACAAAATAATAGTAATTTTCATCTAATAGCTTTTAAAGCCACCACCTACCTCATCACATAGTTCTGGCTGAAGTAAGTTCAGGCTGGAAAAGGGCTGGCGGCGAGGGGCGGAGGTGGGAAACTAAACTATGACATTTACGGCTATACAGACTAGCTGGTTGGAGTCCACGAGATAACAGAAACCAATGAGTGGTTGAAGACTATAGGAGATATGGCTAGGAATCGATGTCAGTGGTGCAGATGTATACACATACATTATTCACACCTTAACCACTCTACTTAATCATATCATCTCACCCAGACGGTAAATGATAATATGTTGGCAGCTGAATGTGAAGGTTGTCGGTTCGACCAATCGTAGGATCATGGGTTTGCACTGCTTAGGAGTCCCGTGTTGGGATGAAACTGCTATCCAGTACTCCCAGGTCTCAAGTAGTTTTCCGATTGATGTCCTTTCATGATAAATAACAACACATCAACCCATTAAAACTATACCATACTCTTTGTGGCGATCGGCCCCGGGAATAATATTCACTAGTAGGCAGGTACATCCAGTTAATGAGTCTTGAATAGGACGAAATGAGCATTCTCGATTCCACTGCTAACCAATATCTATCAATCATATAAAAAATTATGTTCAAAGTTACTTGTTCTGTTATATAAGTGTAATCCTTACAAAGAAGTGAAGTAATCTGACTGTCCATTGGTGATTATAACTGTTAAGTGTACATGACAGTTTGTGGGTGCAGGGCCAAAATCAGTCAGTTATGTAACCTCATTGTCTATAGGAAGCATTAAGAAAAAGGACATCAACGAATCAGATTCATTCCATGTCTGTTAACTCCCAAACTTGTCAAGCAGCTTGAAGTCAAGTAGAACCTTCAACCATAATTCCCAATTCATCATCATCATCCATCAACAAAGGACCGGGCATTTTACTGCGTAACGGTCCAACTCCCAGCCACACATCAGATCACTACATCAAGTTAAAAGGCAGTCATGTGGGAGATGAAGATAAGAAAATTCAGTCCAAAGAAATATCATGTACGAACAGAGAGAGAGAGAGACCGTGAGAGAGAAAGAATGAGAAAGTGGTGAGATTCGGTATGGCATGGTTAAGATGAGGATAGATAGTATGTGCATACATCTGCCACCGACTAACATCGGTTCTCAGCCATGCCGTCAACTACAGTCAGTCTCCAACCACTCATTGATTCCTCTTGTCCCACCAACCCCGAACATCCAATCTGCATAACCCCACATGGCTCAAACTAACGCTCAACTACTTCATATACTGATGCCACGCTTTAGTCTCCACGACAGCCTCGACTCTTCTTCCAGTCTGAACCTTCTTCGGACAACATTGTGTGATGAGGCAGACGATGACTAGGCATACGTAACACATGTCGGAGCCAACCAACTCAGTCGATGAAGGTTCACAACCATGTCATCTTATTTAACTCTTCTCCGTAAAACTCTTCGCCGTAGCCTGACTTCAGCGTTACTCACGTGATGTGGTGACACCACGGAATACCGCCTATACTATGAAGGCAACGGTGGTCAACCACCTGAAGCTTTCTTATGTCTTCCACCTTCAATGACCACGTTTCTCAAGCATAGAGTAGAACAGAGTGGAATGCTGTGCAGTGCGCGTGACGCACAATAGACAATCGGATATCACAGTGGCGCCATAGGTGGTGTAAGTTGGCAAAAGCCAACCGAGCCTTTAGTATTTATGCAGAGATTTCCTCAGCCTCCGAGTTAGCCACCAGGACTGATCCTACTTGTCAGGTAAATGAAGTGGTTGACACACTCAATCACTAAACTCTCTATTGTTAGCCGCGTTGGGGCACCGTTGAAGATGAATCCTGGAGCAACAACTTGCATTTGGGTGTTGAGAAACGCATGCCAAACGTTCTCAAATTGCCACTCAAAGTTGTTAGAAGACTTCATTTAACAGGACCATATCATCCGCGTATTCTGGGTCTAAGGAAAATTTTCCTGTGATCAGGTCAAGCTGTGTATAGTCAGGTGATGGTAGAGAGACCTCTATAATAATGTCTGTTATTAAAGTGAATAAGAATGAAGACAGTGGGCACCCTTGACGGACACCATTCAATGAGCATACCTCCCTGGACATATCACCATAGGCTCTAACACGCCCACAAGTGTTCGAGTAGAGAGCCTTCAATAAGATGATGTACTTAATCGGCACGCCTTTCAGTGAGAGACATTGCCATAAGACTTCTCGGCCAATGGAGTCAAACACCGCCTCCAGATCAAGAAATATAGCTGTTTTCGGGTGTTGGCAAGCTTGCCTGTTTTTCAAAGCGTGGCACAGTGTGCATATTTGGTCGATACACCTATGGCCGGGTCTAAATCCTGCCTGGTTTTCTCTAATTTGCTGTTTCCGAGCCTCAGTCAGACATCGAAGAATTCATAGTCAGCTTACTTCAACTTTCCATGAGTTGATTTTGATAAAGTTATCCAGCACACCATTAAAATTTTACGGGATGAAAACTTCAGTTCAGAAATGAATCAGCCTAAGTGACACATAATTACCGTTATGATTATTATATAAATTGTATTTGGTTTAGAGATACATCTGGCCATCTGATTCGAAACGATTCAAAGAAGTTGATGTTTATAAGTTGTGACGAATATCTGTAGTTCATAGTGATAACTTTTCTGAGCTACAATATTATTTAGCATTACAATTTTTCAGTAAAGTTTGCCGTCATAAGAATTCAAGAAGGAAAAATAATTATTCTTGAGTGGAAGCATATGTTCCGTCGAAGAGGCAGTATTGTCAAATATACAGAAGTGTTAACAAAAACTTCTAGTTCATAAAACAACTCATTCTGATCAAGTATGCTTTCACTATTTCCTACTGATTACTTCCACTTATCTAGTACTTAGTAAATCCGTAGGCTGTTACATATTCGAAGTTATGCTTTCGCCTTGCAATGAAGTTTATATAACGTTGATAAGTTAAGTTTTAATCTGTATTCATTTATTAGGAGATAAGTGACTTTTGCAAACTTCTATTCACTCAGAAACGAGTCATTTGATCTGAATAAACAACAGCTCCATAGTTACGCATGTTCGTTATTCCTCACAGTATAAGTAGTTTTGCATATATACATATTTTACTTGTTCATATTCATCAGTACGGTTTGTTAACGAATTAAAAACGATTCATTGGATGCAAGGTGATTCTTCATCACCAGTCTTCAATAACTCTTCGTATGAGGAAAAGAGAAAAAGAGGCAGAATTCGCTTCAGCATTCAGTAATTCGGTAAGCTACATCAGTTCCAACAGAATAGTTAGTGACAATTCCCAAGGCCGTTTGAAATTCGTAAGCTCTGGTATTAGTGAAATATCCCATTGCAAATCAAAAGATATGTATCCCGGAGTGAAATTGTCTCTGTTTTACTATAGTGCTGTGATTCTTAGTCACTGAAAGCGGGAAACACGAATAAGCTACAGCTTTTCATTTGTGGCTTTTCCTACAGCACTATTCATGTATGATACAAACAACATGTATACATTAATGAAGCCAGATAAAGTTAGTTAGACAATGTAAGTCACCAGGCGAGAAGAGAACCTATGCTACGCATGTCGAACCACCTCGTACCTTACTTAACGTACCCCACTAACCAAAGTAGATCAAGTGTCTGAATTCCGACTGGAAGCCTATAGAGAAGCGTAAGATATCAAGCTTCAATGAAAGTCTGGTGACAGACGTGCAAACACTTTACTACACGTTATGCATTTATACTGTCCACTCCTACTTACTTTTGTCTACCGTAATAAAATTCTTTTGTTAACTAGTTTTGTGAAGTTTGAAACATTGAACTAATATCTCTCTGTGAATGACTTAAAGTTGACTTCTGTTTGGTAACAGTAAATATTTGGTGTAAAATCATCCGATTATCAGCACGATAGAATGGTGAACGCTGATGGAGAACTTAAGAGGATCATGATTGTTCGAAAGTCAGAGAAACTGACCAATGTCTTTAAAGCCATTAAAGTTCAGTGCTGAAGTCATAGATAAATTTTAACACACCAAGTTAGTTAGAGGCATATCGTTTGCTTGAAGGATTTTCCACAATGCATAGGTCTGACTGAAGTCTATCAATCAAGCTTTTCCAATGTGTCCATTAATCAAAGAAATACGATACTGCAACACATTGTATTTTCGTGAAATGAGTAAAGAGAAGAAACAAGAAACTTTTATTAAATTTGGTTTCGTCACTGTGTGTGCTCTTCACTAGAGGGTATCTGCAACCTCAAGGAAACTGATGTCATCTCTTAGACCCAAACTCGTGGCATCTAATGCAGCAGTAACTTGCCCCATTACTGAGATATTTAGGCTGCTACTGGCCACTCATTAAAGTAGGTTACAAACATCAAGTGGCCACTAGATAGCAACCAGTCCCATATCTTCTGGTCCTCAGTGGTGACCGAGCTTTATCTATGCTTTCTCAATATGGTCACCACTAATGACGAGACAACATGAAACTGGAAACTCTACATTGACCAATCAATCTGTCTAATCCAGTCTTCTAGGCTAGTAATTGCAACGAGGAACAGCTTAGTAGTAAATTCCCCAAATGAAATATTGATGTCGACAATTAAATATCTTGAAGGATATCACTGCATTCCTGGTGACTACCATCAGCCATGAAGACTAGGTCCATCAGCGATTACTTTCCATTGACTTCAAGCACCTATGATTAAATTATTTACAAATTATTGGTGGTTGATAACCAATATAATTGTCAAAATCCAAGCAAGTACAAAGTCAATAGATCATTAACAAAGATGAGATCACACATTCTCAATGACATTCTGCATCATTACAAAACCATATGAATGGAGCACATGTCTCTCTGCATATCAAATCAATGGTAAAGAACTTTAGAGAATAGTTTCACTTCATTATCTGATCACTATGAGATTCCTTATCATCTTATATACATTTCATATAATACAGTTTGTTGAGTAAGACATGTGAAGGAAATGTATAATCTGTTCTCTTCATTACATTGTCACTCACTATCTCACTCCCCTTTCACACTGAAGACTAATTCATGAAGTTCAATCAACCTCATTTTGTGTTCCACCCTTCATGCAATTCATCCTCTGAAAATATTCATCATCGATAACGTATCATCTTCATACTTATCTCATTTCCATCCTCTTTCTCTCAGTCTACTTTTATCACTTCATCATGAGTAACAAAGTCTCCTTAGAATAATTAAAAGGTGAAAACATTCACTTCAAATTGATCAATTTCGAGTTTCAGTTAACTAGTACCACACTTTAGTCTGACATCCAAACAGGTGGGAGTACATGCAAAGCATACTCATATTATCTTATTCATTGTCTTTCAAAGAATCTTCTTGTTCTATTCTATCAACACCTTCTACCAACGAGGTGAATTCACTTGTTTGGCTTTTCTCAAGTGTTAACAACCGAACTCTTCTCATGTAGAAGACACAAGTACTTTCCTATGGGGACACCATCTCACTGATATGTCACTTCACTGTGTTATATATAGTTTACTCGTAGACATTTGTCACACAATTTATCGTTTACCATATTTATATATACACATGTGTGTGTGTATGGGTGTATATGTGTTATCTAAGGTCACCGTTGATATTTTTATTATCACTGTCAATTCGCTTCATCTCAGAAGAAAACATTTACTTTGTGAAGAGGAAATAAATATCACCACTCATCATTCCACTGGATGAATGACGACTTCCTTATCATAAGATATCTTTATTTGACTGTGGAACAGAACACTTGACTTGTTAACGGAAGTGATTTAATCTGGAGTTTTGTGGAGACTTGTTTATTGATTTCAAGTTGGAAATCATCATGGTACTTCTTCTTAGCAGTGCACGCTGACAACCTACAGGTTCCGTGGCCATCACTATATCATCAAGTCACTGCATCGGAATTCAACCGTCCATGTTCCCTACTTATATGAGTTCACGATATATCGTCGTGACCTCGATGCAATGTCGTCATTCATTAACTGTCCTCATGTTGGTTAAGTTGTCTCCTCTGGTGACGAAGTTTCATTGGAACTTTTGAGAGTTGTATGTCGAATGTAGTTACCAATGAGCACTAGATGAATTCAGTCTGAAGCTTTGTGGAGATTTATTGATTTCAGTTTGTAATTCATCATCGACTGACCTGAGCTGAAGAAATATTATAGTCGTGGGAGCACTGAACAGCTCTTTCGACCTAGTACGGAACTCTTCAGCAAGGTGCGCCCGTGTGATTTAGCTGAATGATACTCTTAAACCTTAAGAAGTCTCGCAAAATATATTTATCTATCTATTTACAAACTATAAGTTCTACGCAAATATTTCTCACGGGTGAGTAGTTTTATAAGTGTCCAATTTCGCTTGTTACAGGGTTTCTTTTGGAAAACACAATTAAAGAAATATACTATTGAAGGATCTCAGTATTTAAAAAGCACTCAGGTTGATCTTTAGATTTCTCCAGGTAGGCAGATCACAGTGACGTAAACACTGGATGACTGTTTCACTGATTTCTGTTCATATTGTTTACTCGATATACTCTGGAAAGTTTTACTCTTTGAGCTGTATTCTTCGGAGTACATCTCTGATGAGCTAGGCATTAAACTAGAGAAATACCTGTTAAATATTTCCATCACTGTGATCTGGCTGATAAAAGCTATAGATCTGCGTTTACGGTTTTTAACTACCTATATTATCCTGTGGCTGGCTACTATCACCCATGATATTCCTAATTGTAGTGGACTGGATCATGCAACAAACAGTGAGGAGCGAGAAGATGGGTATACGCTGGCTGGACCAGGGAAAAGATCCTAGAATATTTTGATTTTGCCGGTGACCTGTGTCTAATGTCTTGTCGCACAAACTCGAAGATCTTCAGGCGAAAACTGACAAGATGATAGAAGAGGCAGCGAAAACAGGACTTCAAGTGAATACAGAGAAGACAGAGGTGATGAAGATACCCAGTCAACACCAACAACAAACTCCAATCATCGTCAACGAGAGACACTTACGGGAAGTAGTCTCTTTCACCTATCTAGACAGCATCGTTTCAACTACAAGCGGCACAGGTACAGACGAGGACGTCAAAGGCAGCCAGGATCGGAAAAGCAAGACAGGCGTTCATTAACCTGAAACCAGTGTGGAGATATTCTGCACTAAGCATGCAGCGTGAACAACATCCGGATTTTCAACACGAATGCCACTCAAGTCAGTGCTTCTGTATGGCTTGGACAATTGGCGCTTCACGAAAAGCATTTCCAACAAACTACAGACACATATCATCAACAGCTGCCTACTCTGGCTGGTTACTGAAGCTCAGATGGCTAGAGTAATAAGAATAAGCAACAAGGAACTCTGGTTAGGCAGCGAGTCAACCAAGAACGTATCGCTCAACAAATATGCAGAAGGAAGTGGAGATAGGTTAGACATACACTGAGAAGGCCGACTGGCTAGGCGTTAGGCCAGTCGCTCGCGCCAGATGAGTTGCTCTAGTGGAACCCTGACGGAAAGCGACGAGTTGGGCTTTCCAGCTGAGGGTGACATGAAGGGGATCGTGTGAGGAAGAAATGAGAACTTCTGGGCTGTCGTGGAACCAGGTCCAAAAACTTTCACAGAACAGAATGCACTGGAGGCGTGCCACTGAAGCTGTATGTTCCATTAGGAACCCAAAGGACAAATAATAATATTATCCAGTAGTATATTTATTCGATCTTATATTCTTTTTTAAATTCGTTTATATCATCTATGCATTACTGTTGTTCTTCTTTGCAAGATTAATGGCACTGATGTGTTTGATTCGCCGCATACTGAAGTTGTTCATTTAATTTCATCAGCGCAAGATCTTTTGACTCTGAAAATTATCAACCTTCTAGATAAATCTGAAGTGAATTCGAGTAAGTTTTCGCTTTGTTCATATTATAATCGATATGTTTTTTTTAAAAGGTTAAATATGTTAGTTTTGATAGGATTCATATGTATACACTAAATGCCTCCCTTATTCATTTGCTTTTATTATCCTTCAACAGCCTCCTTAAGAAATGGATTATCTCTGTCAGTAATAACTTCACACTGAAATACCAACTGTAGGCAAGCAACTATTTGAGCCACTGGGTCAGAATCCAGTGGTTTATATTTTTAACTTCTGTTAGCTCACGATATAGCACAACCGCCACCCAATGTCATCGTTGAGTGACTGTTCTAAATGGTAACGTGCTGGCCATAGAGTGCGGGGTCGTGGGTGCGCACTGCTGAGAGGTCCCATACTAGGACGAAACAGCTGTCCAGTGCTCTCGGGTTTCTTTTGTTCCTCCAATTGATGTCAGTCTGTGATGAATAATAACTATTTTTATTGGTTGATAGATTGGGTCCATGTTTGTACATCTGTTGATTGCTAAATGACCTGAATGCCAAGCTTCTAGGAATTCAGGTCATTCAGCAATCAATAGATGTAAAGACATAAACCCAATCTATCAACCAATAAGAAGGATGATAAACGACAGGAAGGTTAGAGGTCGAGCAGAGGGCCAGCCAACAGGAAAATTTATACAGTCAGTCAATGACACAACAATCGAAGGGAACAACCAATCTGGAAGCATTTGTTTAGAGCAAGCTATTAAATCACTCACAGAGAGAAATTGACAGCTCATTTCATACTGAAGTTAGTGCTGATGATGTTGCTGTCTAGAAAGATGATGAAATCTTCTTCACAATTACACAACCCAGACCAGAAAACATAATACAACCAAGACCACCCACCTGAGCTACAAATATTCTCTAGTATTTCAAGATAAAGTATATTTCATTCTGGACAATTCTTTGAATGGATCACTGCTGATCAATTTGAAAAAGATTCAGTTTTCACGTACAATATTCAGCAATTATTTGTTCAAAGTAATCATATAAAAGGATTTTTCTGAAGTCCTCACCTTTATAGATAAATATTCTGTCTTACAGTTTTCTCTTCTGTGAATCTCTACAGTGTATGGGTGCATTATATAGGTCGTCAGCTATTTATCTTTTGGGTTTTTCAAGGATTTACTGTTATAAAGTGATACTTTCTCCTATCTATAAAATTACGCGTTTTGGAAGGAACTAAGAATCGTTTACCTCCTTATTCAGCGTAAACATTACTGCACATCGTAAAAGCGACAGAAATTTCACTTCTTAAGGGCAAGTGAATATGATAAGTCCGGAGGGATGGATTTTAAGGTCATCTCAAAACGATTATGGCTCTGTTTTCTTTCAGTTGACTTTGAGTGACAGAAATGAAAATGGATCTTCCATATTTAGTCGTGTTGACATGAGTGTTATAGACAATAGGTATCAGTGTAGACAATACGATGCAGTAAATGAAAGTTGTTCTGTTGTATTCGTCTTGGTGGCTAGCGGTAGGATCCATCCCATTTGTGACTCATAAACCGATCGTACCTGGCTCCCAATGAGTGATTTTATCCTCACTGAAACTTGAACTTCAAGCCCAACCATTCTAAACAACAGTGAGTTATCCACTAGGCCCTCGTATCACGATAGTCAGTATAGTATAATGACTCACTGGCCCAATGCTCTGTCTTTTAAAGCGGTTAGTTCTGAGTGATAATATCTAAACTAGAGAAAGTCATACTCTCTTGTTTTCTAGTTTCAGTTTCATAATGAACATGATGATCAGCTTGTTAGTTTATTCACTGACTGATTATGGTGGAAGAATGAGAGACGAAATCTAGTCTTCAATGACTTTTCTAATCCAGTCTCTTCTATAGGTTATCAGCAAAATCGATAGCTATAGTGCCACTATATGACGATGATATGAATCGATAAAGTAATGAATAAAGATGTACTCTAAATGCAGATCAAGTGAGTCTTTCTGCCAATTGCTTTCAGTCATTTAGCATCCTAAGAAATTATTTAATTTATAGTTTCATTAGATAATAGAAAAATAACAAAACACAATTTAGTGAAGAGAATTTTCTTTTTAGTGAATTGATTTCAAAATCTCCACAATTGTGATCATATTTACAACAAAATATATACATCTATCAATGACTAACAAGTCAATACAAGGTCATTAAAAACGGTCAATAAAGTCACAAGGTGATAACGCCTACTAGGTCAACTCAAGGTCATCATAAATCTCTTACAGGATTACAATAAATCAACTCACAGTAAAGAAGAAAACGAATAAGCAACCTTCGGAAGGTTAGCGACTAAATGTATCTCATTTGAAGGTAAAAATCAAACCTGTTTTGCTGGATTCCCTAAGCTTCTCCTATGTATAGGTAACGAGTACGCACTCCCATCGAAATATTTCATTGCATTTTATACAAATGACCTTGAAAGAAGACTCCCACCAAGCGGTTTCTGGTGACCTTGAGCCGACCCTGTAGCTATTATCACCTTGATGTATATATTTTGTTCTGACTATGATTACGATTGTACACTTTTTGAAAATGATTCGTCGAGAAGAAAATCTCCTTCAGTAAATTGTCATTTGTGAATTTTAGTTGTAAATTTATATATTTTTCTAATGCCTTATTACTTTTTGTTTTTTTTTGTTTGCTTTCATCAATCAAGAGGTTAGTAATGGTGATCATAGCAACAAAAGCAACAGCTGTAACAATAGTAACAGCAGTAGCAATAGTGGCAGCAGCACCACCACTGCTAACACTAACATCAGTAACAGTCGAACAAGTTTTATCAGTGTTGACCTCAGACGACGTAGTGCACAACGTTCAGCTAGTTTACATACTATAACATGTAATCATGATGATCAAGAGAAAATAATTTGTACTCATATTACTACTAATTTTGATAATAATCACAGTAGTAATATTAGCAACAGCAATCAAAACAATAAGGATCATACAGATGGAGATAATAGTTATGAGAGAACCCTATTCCTATCGAAACATGAATCACCTTATCAGTGTCATTATCGTCCATATAATAATAATAATAATATTCATGATTATGGTCGGTCAACTCAAGCTTTGTACACCGATAGCCATCATTTCGACAAGAAGTCAAGATCATTACTTATCATAATGAAGAATGAAAGTGAACAACTTCATGAGACCAATAGAACATCACCATTACTGAAATCATTGTCATCACCATCGTCATCTACAAGTGTCTTGGAAAACACATCGAAAATTACTACTACTACCACTACTAGTAGTATTACTATTACTATGGCCAATAGTACATATAGTAATGGTAGTGGGATCAGTGGAAATAAGCTTATACGAACCTTTTCTGAAACAGAACACTTTATAATGTCAAAACCATATCAAGAAGTGATAAATACACTACAAAAAACACCTCAATCAACAATTATTCTCTATGATCAACAATTTAATGAACAAAAAGATGAACAATTTATACAAAATCAAAAGATTAAATCATTATCATTATCACGAACATCACCAATATCATCAATTATGATATCAACATTACCATCATTTCATTTATCATCAACAAAATATGGACAACAAGAACATCAGAATACAGAAGAGGAGATAGAAGTTTTAAAACAATTGAAAAAATCAACTCAATATGCTTATACTACTCATATCACTAATAGTAGTAATAATAATAATGTTGATGATAATAGTAGTATTCATAATCACGAAACTAATCGAGTACAATATGAAGATGAACAATTTGTAAATCAACAACCTTATGATATATCAGCTGATAAATGGGATTCATCTTGGGATTCAGAATCAGATCTGGTGAATATATCAGAATTGACTGAAATTTCAGAGAATTCGCTAAAACCTGAAAGAAACAGTTATACTACTACTAATAATAATAATAATAACGATAATAACTCCAGAAATCAAGGGTGTATAGAAGAGAAACAGCAACACATAGAAAAACAAAGAAATAATGAAGAAAGTTTTGAAGAGAGAAAAGAAAGTGATCAATCTCCTGATACTAGATCATCATTATTATTAAAAGAGAATGAAATAAATACTGTAGAATTCTCCAAGATGAATATTGAAGTGAATGGTATAAAAATGAAAACATATCCTGAACGATATGTACAACATATTACAGTGAAAAATAGTAGAATAAACAAAGATGAAAATAAACTTTATGATAATGGAAATGAACACAATCAAGTAAGTAACCTAGGATGCTATAAACCACTATTGTTTATTACATAATGAATTCTTATCTAATGGGGATGTTAGTTTACCAGATGATATGATATTCTTTGGCTCAATTCCTCATCCGGTCATAAGTATACACTCTTGAGAAATCTTTGACTAGGCTGAAAAAGCTGAACAAGACATAAATGTCGGTCTTTCAACTCTCTTCAAAGTTGACGGATCTCTATTGAACCTGAAATAAAATGCAAAGTAGTAGTATTTGACAGTTTACCACTTGAGGTTTTCAAGGATGGAGGTAGGAAATTGCTAATTTAAATGACGGAGATACTAGATGATTTGTGGCAATCAAAGGTAGTTCCATCAAACTGGTATAATTGACTGATCATACCAGTTTATAAATAAGCAGAGAAATCTTCTTGTGATAACCATAGAGAAGTTTGCTTTACTAATATTGTGTTCCAAGATCCTTGGATCCATATTTATCTGACATCTAGTCGAAGCTCGAAAGTAGTAAAACTGACAAAACGAGGCAGGTTTCAGACAGAGCTGGACGAGGATGTATCAATCGTAATTTCACTCTCCAACAGGTTCTGACGTGTTGCTGACAGGACTTATTTCTTGACTTGCTGGGAGGGAGAAGATGAAATAAATTTCAGTTTATAGTGCGACAAGATACTTCCAGCATTAAGGCACACTGTAAACGCGTTAGCCCAATAGAATTGTATTTTTATTGATTTATTGGATTCATCACACAGTGAAAGAACAGTATTGTTTACTCGATTACCTCACGGAAACAATTTGTTGTCCTTAGTCATATCAAGATAACTAAACAATTTTCAGACATCCTTTACATAATGATAGACCTCGGCTAGCAGTGGAATCCAGGATGCGCATTTCGTCCTATCTAGAACTCGTCAGCTGGATGTACCTGCTTCCCAGTGAGTGATGTTGTTCCCATCGGGATCGCTTCCGAGTTCAAATCCCTATGGGAACAATATCAATCACTGGGAAGCTGGTACATCTAGCTGACGAGTTCTAAATAGGACGAAATGCGCATCCTGGATTCCACTGCTAGCTACGATCCATCATTAATACAATTAGAATGCAGGCAATATCGAGGCATCCGCATAGGAGCCAATATACCAATAGAGATTGATCAATTCGGTCCAATCAACGACAATATCATATAAAAAAACAATTATACTAAAAGTATACCCGTCGCACAAGAAGTGGCTATCGTGGCTCGGTGGTGTAGTGGATGACGCGCTGGCATTTGAAGCGGTCGCTCCCGAGTCCGAGTCCCGGTGGGAACAACACTCACTGGGAAGCAGGTACATCCAGCTGACGAGTCCCAAATACGACGAAATGCGCATCCTGGATTCCACTGCTAGCCATGATCCATCAGTCTCCTACTAGGTTGAGACGTTGACAAAATCCAGGGTCTTATGAATGGAGTGAGCAGATATTTGTGTATTTTAGGCATGCATTTCTCTGGCACAAATCAAATGAAAAATGGTGCTCCAGGACTGGTGTAGAACCCCTCCCAGCTTAACGATAAGGACTGAAGTGATGAAGTGTGTCAATCATTTCACTTGATGAGTTGCATCAGCCCGAACGGGTTGGTTACTGACGAAAACTCAGCTCGAATACATAAGCTCTGCTTACATTTCGCCAACTTGCTTTACCACTGGCGTCACAGAGATATCTATCAAACGACGAGTATACTGCGCTACAGTTCGTTCTAGCTTGTTGTATGACAGTGAGACATGACCGCTGAAAATAGAAGATATGAGTTGGTTACAGTGTTGGATCATAGTTTCTTCGTAACATTCCTGGCGTGTGATGGAGTCACCATGGGAGCAATGTTGAGTCCAAGCGAAAGGTATCAGAAAAGACAGGCAAGTCGATGAATAATGTGGTGAACACTAGTCGACAGAGATGGCATGGACGTATACTGCACATTCCAAGTCACCGCCTACCTTGACATCCAATAGTGGGAGTACTTGAATTAGATTGGAAAAGGGTTCAGGGTGGCCAGATCAACAGGTAGCACCAATCGATGAAGTCCTTGAACTATTGGTGTCAGCCGTCAGAGAGATATAGAGTACCTGACTAGGGTTCCTGAGACAACAGGGATCAGTGGTTATTGATACTTGGTGAAATGGCTGAAATCAGTCGCAATATTCAAGTTAACCCTTATCGTCAGACTGGCTATCCTCTAACAATACTTTGCCTACTTTGATATTATACCTTTCCTATCCATCTGTTCTGTGTTTAACATCTGTGAAGTGTGGCAACTTGAGGGAACGCACCACTGAGCGAGGTTCTACGTTGATTTTGTCAGTCAGTTAACAACCACCAGGTTTTCAATAGTTTTCGTCCAAATGATTTGAGTCCATAATGCCTTTCAATCATTCAGTCAAACCAGATTTACCTTAGATAGGCCAAACTGAGAATCATTTTTTGTCAATAGAATGTCTAGCAACTGATAGCCTATGAACTATGAATCTGATTTTCGTGATAGTATTCATCACTGGGTCCAAACAATGTTTGAATCTAGCTCGCAAGGCTGACCAGATTGCAAAACAGATGAGAAGGTGTAGCATAAAAGTGCTAGAAATCTGCGAGGTATTTGCAGATGGAATGGACGTGGAATCTCCAAACTGTCAACTGCAGAGTCAATAATCTACTCCGACACTGTCACCCAGACGACAACCACGAACACACTGAGTTCTCGAGTGGCTATCATGATGTCCCCAACAACATTGAAGGCTCTCTCTCATGCAGTGGGAACCAGTCTCCTCCTGCAGAATCGTGACAGCAAGATTCAACTCAAAAGGAAGGGAAGTCACAATCATACAATGCTACACTACGCTACGCACCTACAAATAATGCAGATGAAGAGAAGAAGAAGGAATTCTACAGACAACTGCATTAAGTAATGGACAAGACCCCACTCCAGATGGCCACATCAAAACTCATTCTAATGGGTGGGGTAACATGAATGCCAAACTGCAGGGAGCGGACAACATAGAAAGAGAACCAATCATAAGTGGAGAAGCACTCGGTGGAATAATGAATGAGAAGGGAGAACTGTTTGCAGACTTCTGTGCATTCAATGATTTGGTGATTGGAGACAGCGTATATAAACACAAGGATATTCACATAGTGACATGGAGTAGATTTCACTACACTACACTAAAAATTAGATCGACTTGATTTCAATGTGAAGAAAGTGCAGATGCAGCCTACTAGACACAAGATCATATCAGGAAGGGGAGCAGATGTGGGTGGTTCAGACCACTCACTATCTAGTGCAAGCAACCCGCCTTCAAAATCAAGTTGAAAGCCTCCACAAAAGAGGGTGTGATGATAGATCACAGTTCAAGTTGAACACCTAGAAGAGAAACTGAAGGATGAACCTATAAAAGATATCTCCACGTCAGCCATCAGGAAGAAGTGGGAGACATTGAGCAACATCCCTGAAAGAACCTGTATGGAAGAACACTGGAACTCTTTGAAAATTATGTGGGAAGAAACCTGCATAACCGTGTTAGAAGGGAAGAAGAGGTAAGACAAGACTAGGAATGGATCTCGACAGACGCAAGGAAGCTGATAGAGGAGGGAGAGGAAGATGGTGAAGCAGAAGATGAACCAGCGAAGTGCGGTGAAGTGCAGGCATGAACAAGGAGAAGAGGAACTGAATACAACCTATAAAACACTACACTGGACAAAGAAGTGAAGAAGAGTGTGTACAAAGACAAAAGACACCTCCGTGACACACTAGCAAGTGAAGCAGAACAGGCTACAGGTAAGAAAGATAGAGATCTGACAACTCTATATCAAATAACCAGGTTACTATGTGGGAGGGAAGAGATCAACACAGCACAGATGAAACCAATGAGGGATAGTGAGGTAAAACCTAGTTACCAAAAGGAAGAAACAAAGGAAACGATGGGCTTACCACTTCAGAAAACTCCTGAATCGATAGCAACACCGCCACCTGCAACTCGTCTAGAGATAACACCAGCACCACAGCCACTGAACTATCAGTGAACACAAGCACTCCGACAAAAGCTGAAGTGAAGTCCTGAAGGCCATAAAGTTGCTGCAATACAGGAAAGCAGCAGGAGCAGATGGAACTCCTTCAGGAGCACCGAAAGAAGACTCAGAGACAACAGCGGATATGCTCACACGACTATTGCAGAAGGTTCTGAAGGAAGGAAGGAAGGAAGCAGAGTTACCTGACGGCCGACTGGAAGAAGGGCTACCCAAGCAAACTCTCGAAGAAGGGTGGGTGACCTAAGTCTTTGCAAGAACTGGCACACAACCATGCTCCTGTCCACCTCAAGCAAAATATTAGGCCACATCATCCTGGACAGACTAAAAGATGAGCTCGATTCAAAATTACAACCGGAACAGGCTGTCTGGCTTCAGGAAGAACAAATGGTGTGCGGATCAAATTGAGACGAGACGATACGCATCATCATAGAACAGAACATAGAATGGCATTCGACTCTTTACCTTACCTCAACTTCATCGATTTTGAGAAGGCCCCGCACAGCGTTGCCTGAGAAGCAATTTGACAGCTGCTTCATCACTACGGTTTTAGTGGGATAAACACTCATCAACCTCATTTCACAGCAGCTACAAGCTGTATGATGCTCCATGCCAATTGACTCACAATGGAGATCTCAGTGGTGTCTTTGAAGTGAAGACAGGAGTAAAACAAGGTTACCGCCTACTATCCATCGCCGACGATCTTCCTGATTGTGGTCGAATGGGCTGGGCTGGATCATGCAACAGACAGTTGTGAGGAGCTAGAAGATGGGTATACGCTGGCTACACCGATGAAAGTTATTCAGAAGAATTTTTCGACGTCGCCGGTGATGCTTTGTGTCTAACATCTTATGTCGCACAAACTCGAGGATCTACAGATGAAAACCAACAAGTTGACAGAAGAAGCGAAGTAGCGAAGGACAACAGAACTTCAGGTGAATGGAGATACC